GTCCTGATCGATAACTTCTCGGAGAGACGCGTACATGGAAACAATTGCAAATGCTTCAACACATATGGACATTTTGCATCTGTCTCGGTGTGCACGCTAATGTTTGGTCATGTGCTTGCTTGTAGCTCCGCTGGTTTTGCAGATGCTGCCTGCTCACTTACAACAGATGGTAGCAGCCTCTAATGGCCCGGTCATATGTATGCTAGATTTATTAGTGCATCGGTAACACACTCAAGTGCACCTTACTGGCAGTACCGCTTAATGTACCACTTGAATGCGTTTTGTAGAATTTCTCCATCGAGTTTCCTCTGGTCCACATCATTATGTTACATTTGATTACGTTAACATGATTGCAAGACAGGTTGAACAAAACATGCAAGCGCGCATGTCATTTTAAAGCCTGTAGAGTGGAATGGCACAAGTTTGGAGTTCAAGTAAAGTCCAAGAAAAAATAATCGTAAAGGGCTAAACCCTGAGGTGTGTTTGCCTTTTCTACTTTAAATGCTGGCAGGTGTGTGATGACTCACACACTTCTAAAAACGTGTGTGTGTGTGTGTGTGTGTGTGTGTGTGTGTGTGTGTGTGTGTGTGTGTGTATATATATATATACTGTGCTTATTATCTGAGTTGGTGTCGTTTTATTTCCCTCATCCTTTCCATTTTTTTCCCTTCCCAATTGCATTGCACAGTGTATAGTCCACATCGATGGTGGAAAAAGCTTTTTAATTTTTTATTGTGGTCTAATCTTTTGATATCGCAAAACCATGACATTTGAACGGGGGGGTGTAGACTTTTTGTATTCACTGTATTTAAAACAATACGAAGATGTATGTGACTCTTACAGTAAAAAAAAAAAAGGAAAAAAGTAATTATTTAAATACACAAATCATTATACAGTTTTGGAATAATCTAAATATTGACATTTCTGGAGGAATCTCATTTTAAACTACCAAGAATAAAGTGCCAAACGGTATAACACATGCTATGCAAATTGTTTGAGATACAAAGAAAAAAACCTGGCAAACGGCATATGTCGCTATCATTTCTTAGAGTTGAAACAAGGGACATCTTTGGCGTTGGATGAAACAAAACGGAGGCAACAGATGTGGCTGTTAAAAATACATTCAAAAAGTCAACTGGGTACAATAAGCCATATTGTATTGTACTGTATTACAGTCAAGAGAAGTCTTTGGAATCGCTTAAAACAAACATTGTGGCTGTGTCAACAGATGTAGCCATTAAAAATACATTTAAAAAGTCCACCGATTACAATATGGGGGATCATTCATCATCATAAGCACAGGAAGGACTTTTTAAGAATTGAATGGACTGAAAACATTGCGATGTCGACAGATGTAGCTGTTAAGTGTGTGTGTGTGTGTGTGTGTGTGTGTATATATATATATACTGTGCTTATTATCTGAGTTGGTGTCGTTTTATTTCCCTCATCCTTTCCATTTTTTTCCCTTCCCAATTGCATTGCACAGTGTATAGTCCACATCGATGGTGGAAAAAGCTTTTTAATTTTTTATTGTGGTCTAATCTTTTGATATCGCAAAACCATGACATTTGAACGGGGGGGTGTAGACTTTTTGTATTCACTGTATTTAAAACAATACGAAGATGTATGTGACTCTTACAGTAAAAAAAAAAAGGAAAAAAGTAATTATTTAAATACACAAATCATTATACAGTTTTGGAATAATCTAAATATTGACATTTCTGGAGGAATCTCATTTTAAACTACCAAGAATAAAGTGCCAAACGGTATAACACATGCTATGCAAATTGTTTGAGATACAAAGAAAAAAACCTGGCAAACGGCATATGTCGCTATCATTTCTTAGAGTTGAAACAAGGGACATCTTTGGCGTTGGATGAAACAAAACGGAGGCAACAGATGTGGCTGTTAAAAATACATTCAAAAAGTCAACTGGGTACAATAAGCCATATTGTATTGTACTGTATTACAGTCAAGAGAAGTCTTTGGAATCGCTTAAAACAAACATTGTGGCTGTGTCAACAGATGTAGCCATTAAAAATACATTTAAAAAGTCCACCGATTACAATATGGGGGATCATTCATCATCATAAGCACAGGAAGGACTTTTTAAGAATTGAATGGACTGAAAACATTGCGATGTCGACAGATGTAGCTGTTAAGACGACGCTCAAAAGCTGAAATCCCTGAGCTGCTATTTATAGATGAAAGCTTGTTTTTGTCCGCATCACCCATCCATTGTCTACTCACCCAAAACGAGAAACAAAACAACAAAAAAATTATAATGAGGAGTAAGTGTAGTGTCCACGAGTGAACAGATGGAAAAGTATGTGGAATGATCAACAGTACATAAGAGTAACACACATGTGCACGCGCGCACACATGCATGTTCTTCTGCTAATGTATTCCTTTTACTTCCACGAGCCAAGACGGAAGTGGAAAATGGCAAAAAAGTTGAAAAAGAACATGAATGTAATTGATGGTTTTTTTTTAAGTGTATTTTAAGATGAAGTGTGCATTACTTCTGCTTGCCACGAAGGCTGACTGCGATTCCTCAGCCTGTGTTAGGGGAACATCACATATTTTGCTTATTCCGTTAAACTAAACGTCATGAATATGATTGTGTCTTTAAAACAGTCACCACATGGGTGTTTTTCTATCTGCTTCTCTCTGGGGATCTCTTTGCATGGACAACTTTGGGCATGACTGCATTCAATGTCATTAATCGAATAATAAATAAATCTCCACTCAAACGGTAGTAGAATGGGATGAGTTATTTTTAGGGTCTTATTCGTGTGCTACGGGTGCCGAATATATTGTGTCCTCCATGCACTCTATGTCGGGATACCTTAACTGCCACTTAAGGTCTTGGTGAAGGACATATGAGGAGCACACACCATCGTGACATTTTGAAAGGATTTGGTGTTACCTGCTGGTTGGGTCTGGGCAGATTTTGCAAGACTGGTAATGCAGCCTTTCTTAGTGCAGAGTGTGACGGTGAAGTTGTACACGTGGTAAGGCTTCAACCCTTTTGCGATATAAAGGGGCTGGTCTGAGGGTCCGAACCGCTGCAGGACCTGAGAAAAAGGCATGTCAATTTCATCCATGCAGCAGAACAAGAGCCCTTCGCACGATGACATAAAGGAGAACGTATGACACGTACCTGGCTGATCACTGGAGGAGCATAGCTGCTGTTGGTCTGTTCAGTCAGCAAATTGACATGATATTCTACAACCTGCCCTCTGGCAATGACCCCGTGACCTTCAGAAGTGCTCCATGTGACTTGAAGACTGGTGGAGGACAGTGCGGTCACATCTGGAGGAGTCATCAACTCTGGAACTAAAGATATTGTGGAATAAGTGCACTTGTTCAGTGGTGCTGATCTGTACTACTGATACGAGCGTGGCGCATGTGGTCACAATGTGGTTTTCCGACGTAGCACAGCATGTATACACAGACGCGCAGATTCACTCACGCACACCCGACATTTAAATGATGTTATCATATGCTTATTACCCAGACACGTAGCTCAGAGAGATGTTGGGGGCAATCGCTTAGTCTTAATGAGCCATATCATCTCTTTGAAATTCAAATACCTTAATGAGTACCCCCCCCCCTCCCCTTAAGAAAGCACACATGCACATTGCACACACGCTCGCACATTTTTCATTTCTTCCCTCATTTCCCCCGTTCTCGCTCACATTATGGCTAACAGTCTGTTGTGTTATTTTTAAATAAAAATCAGATTTTATTGCATCTGTTGAAAGCGGGTCGTTTTTACTGGTGAGCTTTCATACACCGCGTTCCATTTCATTACAGTTGTACTGAAATTAGAGAACGCTGCAACAGCCATACACAGATAACAACTGAACGTTAGATTAGGAACTACACCGAAACTTTATTCCAGTGACATATTTTTATTTTCACTGTCAAGAGTATTTCAATTTTTTTAATTAATTTTTTTATTTAATGCAAGAAAAAAGCGAATGACCATCACACAGCCAATTTCAACTGTCCATAGTGATGGTGACTTTTGTGAAATATACAATAAACAACAATGTACCTTTACAACATCCTGTAAATGTAACATTGAAAAGTGATTCTTCCTCTTATAATTACAAGTTCTTTCTTGTCAACATCAAACTTTATTCTCGTAAATGGCTTTGTCCTTGAAAATGCAAATGATTTTATTGTTTAAAAAAAAAACTATTATGGTAATTCCAAGACTTTAATCTTGTTGCCGGACTTTTCCCCATTTCGTTCAAATTTTCAAGACTGATATCTTGCTCATATTATCTTGTAAGCAAAGCTCTCAGCTTCAGTGGTGAAAAAAAAAGCTGAATGGGTCCAATGCCATTTAATATTTCCCATAAATATTTCATTGTTGCAACAATAACAATATTTAAATTTTAAAGTAATTATATCACTTTCAGCTCAATTTTATGTGTTTTTGTTTTTATAATACAATGACTCGAAATGTTGTGGAGAGAAAATAAACACAAAAAGTGAAACCATTTCTGGAGTGAAAGAACTGCAGAGAGCCAGGAATTGCGTACAAACCTCCCTCCGTTGTGCGCGCGGTGGCCCACCCTGATGTGACATTTCCCGCCATATTGATGCTAACGACTCTCATCTGATAGGTGGAGAAGGCCTGCAGACCGGCCACAATGGCGCTGCTCTCCGGGGGCGAAGCCGTACTCCCGTTGATGAGCCGTGCTTGAAACGGGGTGCTTGGATCCAGCCAGCCGGTGCTGACAAATACTCTCTTTTCACCAGTCAGAGTTGACGGGCTGCGAGGCTCCACCGGCCCTCGTAAAAACAGCTCATACCTTGTGATCACTCCTGCGGAGAAGCAGTTAAAAAGTTATGTGCCGTAGATTAAAAGTGATCCATCGTAAATACAGGAGATGTAACGACATTGATGGACACCTTGCCAGTCTGCTTTGACAATTACCGATGGAATGACAGCACATCACAAAAACATGTGCACATCGTGAACAATCATTATTCACTGATTCAATGTTGTGGTATGCGGCGTAAAAATGCTTTGCATCATCAGGTTTTGGCTTGAACCCGTAACAAGCTATTTAACAGTGCAGGCCAGATGTGAGGTAGGTGGGAAGCATGTTGGGAGTAACGTTGCATGAACGTGAACTTTATTTCTCTTCAAAAGCAGCCTGTGGATAACTGCTGCGCACCCTGAACCTGTCTAGACACTTTATTGCTGAATACTTAACCATCCCTGACAGAATCTTTGCCCCCCCTCCTTTCGTCATGGCTATGCGCTGCATGGTACCTCTTCCATCCATAACATTCACTGACACATGACAAAACTACAAGATTATCAATCCCAGCACAATAACTCTCGTGACTTCAACGAGTCTCCTCAAATACTATGTACCGTAGTCAGATGGCACTTTCTCAACGGGCCTAATTTTTCCCACTAATCTACTGTCGATTTATAAAAAAGTCATCATAAAATGAATCGTACCATATGAAGCATGCTCATGACTCTTTTCTAATGGTGATGGCAAATTGAAATTTTAGCTTCCTTTTTTTTTCTTTTCTTTACAAAAGCTGATGCTCTAAAAGGATAGTCAAAGGCCACGACAGAGGGTCAATATTTGGCACCGTGAGGGCCTGTACTGACAAGTCCAGCTGTGCACTCAAAGGGGAAGCATGCACTTGTCCTTTGTCAACGACTCTAATAGGGCTGTTCCAGTGGAAAAAATGGCAGAGCTCGTTCAGAATGAGGACAGCATACAAATGTGAAAGACAAAATATGGTCTCGATATATATGCTGTATTCATAAACTGAACGGAGGCTTGTAAAGTGACCTTTTGATGTCCGCACCAACCCAAATCGTCATTGATGTTTGATTCCAGAGTCAAAAACATCATGAACAGGGTTAAGGTTAAGTCTTAATAAACTGCGCAGGTGACAGCCATCGAAGGTGAGGGTAGCCAGGAGAGCACAAGTTACTCGTGTTATATGACACAGATTAACAGAGAAAGACTGAAACCACACAGACACGTATGGTGTGGGGGGGCTGGGGGGGCGCAACCCTGACTTTGTATGACGCTGAGCCGTAGAGCCACCACAAAGCCCTCTGGATTTAGCAAAGGCACTTGCGCTTCTGTGGATTCCCGTTAAACAGAGTGGGTGGGGCCGCGTCTTGGAACACTTGAGTGACACACACATCCTAGTCATTCTTGATGAGAATAATGAGCATACAGTAGTGACAGGAAACTGGGACAAAGTGGACCTGCAAATTTCGCAAATATTAACTATAGCCTGTTAAAACAATTAATTACTGGTAATTGTCCAACATAAGTTATTGGCAGAGCTTATTGAGAAGAAATGGAAGGGGCAAATCAACCCTGTTCAAATTTCATCTCGATTTGCAAAACAGCTCTTTTTCTTCCCATCAGCTGTCCTAATTTTGGAATAGTTCAACATGTTGCTGCAGAAAAGTTTCATTCGCTTCTCTTTTTATTTCTGTTTAGTAGCTTTGTAGGAATCCAAATGTTAGGGCGCGAACTGAATGCAACCTAATTCAGATTGCTGCCAAGCGGTGGAATTCATTATGCCTTCATTGCCATAACCTTGTTGGAGTGAATTCGAGAAGTAGACAAGTAGTAGATGAAGAAACTTCCACAAGCTTTATCATGCCCATGCGTAGCGGGTTCTGCCTCAGGTTAAAGACAGGTTTAAGAGTCTGTCCGTTTATGGAGAGATTGTGTCACCGCTATAGCATCACAACAGCGCGCGAGGCCGTCGTGAAACTTTACAGTTGTGGAGTTGTGGTTCAAGATGACGCACCGTTTGGCTGAGCGGGTGGCTCCCATGAAGCGAACAAGGTGTGAGGTCCAACGGCAGTGACCTTGGGAGGAGATTGGTTTTGTGGGGGGGCAGCGGCTGTCAGTAGTGACAAAGGTGAAGTGGAAGTGCAGCCTCCAGATGAACATGCCTTTCAAGAGAGAAGGAAATATCTAATTTAGAGCAAAAATCCCCGATCAAGCCATGAATGGTATTTTTTATTTTATTTTTTTGTAAAGGAGCTGTTTTCCGACCCACCTCCAGAGAGACAGTGTACTGGGTGAAGGCTTTTAGGCCACTTGCCACTGCCTCAGTCGATAAACCTGTGTAATGGACGACAGGCTCTGCTCTGCTGGAAGATTCTGTGGAGGACAACACAAACCTTTGGGAGACAAAAAAAAAAAAAATCATTTCCTTTCTTTTAATTTCACTCCACTTTCTTGAAAGGATGAAAATATCTGCACAAGTATTGGGATAAATGCAATACTTTCAGCTCAGGAAACATCCTTACCTCTCCACTGGGCCTGTTTTATTCTTTGGAGTGCTCCAACGAAAGCTGGCGCCGGTGGGGCCAGGTCGTCCCACAAGGTTTAAATGGAGCTGGTCCAATTCAGGTGGTGCACCTAAAGTTTGGTAGTAAGAGGTGGCACTAACTGTCTCACCGGCGACATTAGCCGTAACTAGCCAGTAGGAATAGTTGGTGTAAGGAGACAAGCTGACGTCTGTGAATGATTCAGCACCTTCAGAACGATGACAGGAGAAAGGATTTTAGAGGACTTTCGAAATGGATGGAAATTGAGAAGGTTATAATCCAGTGTGCACACTTACTGAAAGGATAGCTACGCTGTATGCTGTGCACAGGCTGCCAGTCCCTTATGAGAGTGTAGTTGAGTACGTTTGAGTTTGGGGAGTCAGGCTGATGCCAAGTCAGATTGATGGAAGAAAAATTGAGAGAAAAAGCTACAGGGGCAGGTTGCTGAGATGGCGCTGCAAGGACACAACAAGAGCATGGGATCAAGTTTCATAGACCAGACAACAACCAGTAAGTGTAACCAAAAAAAAAATTTAAAACATCAGTATGCGTGTCTCTCTTGGAAAGCGGACCTTTACTGCAGCCATAGATGTTCTCTGCACGTAAAAGGCTTGCTCCATGTTGACATGCATCACATTTGTCCCCGGTGACCAGCAGCTTGCACTCACATACTCCTAAATCTGAATCACAGGAGCCATTGACACTGCCCGCCGGGTCACACGCACATGGTTGGCATCTGGACAAGCAGTAGGAGGGCGTAAATCAAAGCGTGTATTATTACAAACAATCTGTGTACCTTGCATGCTCCGTAAAAAGCCGCAGTCTCTAAACCATAAGTAGAGAATGTTAGAATTGTTTTTTTTTTTTTTAGTTTATCAAAGCTACCTTCCGAGGCCAGGGTTAAATCCAAAGAAGCTCTCCTGACAGTGATCACAGCGCCGCCCTTGCACCGAGGGATGGGCACAAAAACACTGGCCAGTGTGGCTTTCACACTTGCGGTGCACTGCCCCCCTGGGATGGCAGTCACACTCCACACACACATTCTGATCTGGAGAAAGGTAAAATCCTGAAGAGAGAGACACAAAAAAAACCCCAAAACATTTTTTGCTTGAAATCAAAGACAGTTGCATCCATTTCGCTCCCAAACATACCCACCTGTTCGGCATTTGCTGCAGTCTTTTCCATAGCGTGTTGGCATGCACACACACTGTCCTGTGCTGCTATCACACACTGAGCCAGCCACTGTTCCTCCTGGGTCACATGTACATGGCGCACAGCCCTGGAATGACCCATCTGACAGGACACAGTCCAACAATATTCAGTACTATAGTAAATCATTTTTTTAATTCACCTGCAAAGCATAAAATCAAAGCCGGCTTTTCTTACTCTGGATATCGGAACTCGTGTTGAAGTAGTTGGGAGCACAGTTGGTGCACTGCATCCCCTCCACCCCCTCTCTGCACGGGCACTGTCCGGTCTGCAGATCACATACTCCCTCTGGCACGGTGCCGTGAATGTCACATGCGCACGGCAGACAGCCCAGGGAGTTTCGCCGCTCCAAGGTATGGTAACCATGACGACAAGAGTCACAAAGATGGCCTTCCACATGTTCCTAAAAACGGAACGAAACAAAAGAAAGATGAAATCTTACACAAACACGGTAGCAACATGACAACATGCGTGGCATCCATAACACAATGATAAGCCTGTGTAGAGTCTTATCTCCCATCCTGCTGACTGTGGAGCTGTTTCAGGCCATTTGTCATGTTGTTGCTAATCAGATACTAGTCGAGCGCTTGGACATGTGGCTGTGGGAATGATACAAAGAAAAAAAAAAGAACTTTCTTTGTTCTAAAGGCAAAGTTGAATTTTTATTTTTATTTATTTATTCATTTTTTTGCAATAACCTAATTTAGATAAACCAGTGCCCAGCTGTGACTTTTTGATTCTTCAACATGGTGATTTGGGCAACACTGTGTGTAATAACGAACAATGAAAACATGTTAACTTGCCTTACACACACATTGGCCCGTGTGCGGATCACAGTCCGTGCCAGGTAGCGTTCCTTCTTTTGAGCAGTTGCAGGGGGTGCACATTCCCTCCAGCCTCAAACCCGTCAAACCATGGCCACATGAATCACAGCGCTGCCCTCCCACACCGGGCTTACATTCGCACTGGCCCCCCTCAGGCTCACAGAACTGGCTCAAGGATCCCAAGGGGTCACAATTACACGGAACGCAGCCGTCTGTGTGGGACAGGTTCCAATAACCAAATTCACAACGATCGCAAGACAGACCTGTGAGGAGAGAAAGGAAGAAAAGAACCACACGATGACAGGAGCACTTACTATAAAACAGACATTCTATATTGTAAGAGAGCCATTCAGAAGAAAAACACTAACGGAGTTCAGTCGCTCTCTGATTTGAATCAATTGTGCATGAGAGAACATGTGAGAGCGAGAGAAATGGTGGTTGAGTGTATAAAACTGCCATCATTAGGGCTGGGCCCTCTACATATGATGGATCACTTACCTAAGGCCAAACACTTAATTTCACTGAGCAGGAAAATAAATAAATTAAGGGACTACAAAGAATGGAAGGGAAAAAGGCAAGGTGATGGAGGCATACAGAGATGGATGGAGGTACCTAAAAATACACTCAGGTGCGATCTGCTACCGTTTTTGTGTTGAAACAATAAGAGGTGATGACTTTTTGACATCTCGTGAAGCAATCTAATGTATTTATGTACTAACGCTTATGCCGGCGACAGAAAACATGTCTTCTCTTAATGCTCAAGTCTCGATAAAATTTGACGTGATTATGAAATATTTGTATTCAAATTAATTAGTTGGTATAAACCAACTCATACGGAATTGCCAACACATAATGGACACAACTAAAACAACCAAATTGTCAAAAGAACGAATCTTGATTTTGTTTTTCACGAAGTGTATTTCTTTTTTTGTTTTTTTTTTAATAGACATCATTCTTTTGATCATTTGACAGTATACCAACTAAAGTAGCGGACCCATATAATGTAGGTTTAATTGCCTTTATCTCTCACCGTATAGCAAACACAACAGCATTGAGGGAATAGGCCTCAAAGTAGAGTGTGCAGCCAGCATACACGATATAAAGCATCAACAGCTTTCATCATGTTAAAGTCTTCCATTATTTTTTTTATTTTTTATTTTTGGGGGGGTGGGGGGGTGATGCCTGGATCATATTGGAAGAGGTTTTAGCGCAACAATACAACTGTGCTAGTTAAAGTGTGATGTGTGGTATGAGTGAGCAGTGCTTATTTGAATATGCCATACGTATTCCATGACAGGCAATCTGTCCCTAAATGGATGCCTGGGGGCAACACGGTCCCCACCGCCGTTTAGGAAGTAGCTCATGTTCATATGTGGTGGGTATGAATGTGTGTGTGTGTGTGTGTGTGTGTGTGTGTGTGTGTGCGCGCACGCGCGTACAGCGAATATTAGTGGAATTGCACAGGGCCGCATGTGTGTGTGTATGTGTGCGTGTGTGTGTGTGTGTGTGTGTGTGTGTGTGTGTGCCCTGTTCTGCAAAGTGTGTGGCAGACACTTGGCATTACCCCCAGTGCTCCCACTTTAATGGCTTTATAGATATGAGTATTTCTCACCATAAATCATATTTCATACTAGTACAGACACACTAAAAAATTGAGACTATGAGTACGTGCGTGTTGGTAAGGTAAAGAATTGCATCATGATATACTGGATGGAATCGGACCTTCACAATAAAATGACAATATAATGACAGAATTTAGGGCTACAATCTTAAATCAGAGAACCATTAAGTCGTGTCCACGGTCGCTATTTGGGTATTATTTTCAAATCTTTTTCAAGTGAAGAGTGGAGGCGTGACAGAGGCTAGAATACACAGAAAAGGACATTTTAGATGGAATATGACCCCCCCCCGCCACACACACACACACACAACAAACCCCACAATCGTGTCCACGGTCGCTATTTGGGTATTATTTTCAAATCTTTTTCAAGTGAAGAGTGGAGGCGTGACAGAGGCTAGAATACACAGAAAAGGACATTTTAGATGGAATATGACCCCCCCCCGCCACACACACACACACACACACACACACACACACACACACACACACACACACACACACACGCACACACACTTACACACATTTTTACATTTCATTAGTGTCCCGGGTAAACTCGAGCCTATCCCATCTGACATTGGGGTGAAAGGTGGGGTACACACCGGACTGATTGCCAGTCAATTCACAATTCACAATTCACATTCACACCTAAGGAGAGTTTAGTCTTCAATTGACCTAAATTGCATGTTGTTGAAATGTGGAAAGAAAAAAGTTGAGTTAAAAAAAAAAATACATGCAAGAGGAGAAAACTCCACATTGGAAGGGTTCCAGTCAAGATTCGAACCTGTGAGCTTTCGACTGTGAGGCGGCCAGGCGAACCACTGCGGCGTCCTACCCAGTTCGTATGGGTGTGTGCATTTTGAGGATATGACCCAGCCCTTTTATCAGTAGCAGCTGGTTAACAGGCTCATGCATCACCATTTCAAACGCTATTATGTACACACTGCACCCTGGCACCACGCTAAGAGTGTGTGTGTGTCTGAATGCGTGACCGCCTGTACACATTCCAGCGACGTCCCTCTGAAGCGTGCCTGCCATCGCTCCGCTCAAAGTATCAGCTTGGCGGTAATAAATTGCCATAATCAAATCTCATTTCTGAAAAATACCTGTGGGAGCGGGCAAACAAACAAGGACAGAAGAAAGGGAAGGCGAGGTCTTGTAAGAGGGAGGGGGGGGGGAATACAAGGGGGCTGCAGCAGTTTGTTTTAATCAACTTGGCATTGAATTAGAGAATTAAATAGCAGCTTAGAGCTTGATGGAATGCATTCACACCCGCGCATGGACACAAAAGAAAACTTGCAGAAAATTGATACAGCTCGGCAAAAACAAAATTACACTTGCTCCCCCTTCCACATATACTTGAACGGGCATACACACTTTTACAACTTTGAACAAACACGTCTGCACACGCGCACTCGCATTCACTCACACGCGCACACAAGCGAGGGGCCCTTGATAGCGAGGCTTAGCAATAACCACGATGCGTTGAATTAAGGAGCGCTGGCCGGTTTTGCATTTCATACGAGCGCGCTCTTCAAAGACACACAGGGGAGAGAGTGAAACCATTTATCACAAAGAGACGCACAACGGCTGCAAGCACCGCCAGCGGAAAAGCCTGTTTGTTTTGGCTGGCATAACACTTTGGGCTATGGATGTGTGTGTTTATGAAAGGGTGTACACACATGCCTATTTGGAGGGCACACACAGTTTATCTACTTTCGCCTGCTTACGTATGCAGGGCAATGACGGAACAGTTGATGTATTAATTGACATTTCAATACTTAGCATTGGAAGATTTGAAATTTGACCAAAGTGCATGCATCCATTTTCGGCACTTTTTGTTTTCATTAGGGTCACGGATGCCGAGGAGCCTATCCCAGCTAACTTTGGGTGAGAGGCGGGGACTACTCTCGACTGGTCGCCAGGCAGTCTCAGGCCACATATAGATAAACAACTTTTCACACTCACATTCATACGTATTGCCACTTTTGAGCATTCACCGACTCTCACATGCATCTGTTTTGGAATGTGGAACGAAGTCAGAGTACCAGGAGCAAACACAAATGCAAGCACGGGGAAAACGTGCTATCGCTGCACAGGTGAATCAAGCCACGGTTTTTACCCCGGACCTCAGAACAGTAGGGCAGACATGCTAACCACTCGATAAATATGTTGTTTTTGAACAAAGAATTCGAGTAAAATATGCCTTAAAAGTTACACAAAACGTCAGAGGTTGAATTGCAGTCAAAAATAAGAAGAGCAATTCTGGTGAGAGTAGACCTCAGTGAAAATTATAAGATTTCATTCAAGCAGTCCTTCATCTAGCCAAGGCACCCATTTCTCATTGGGAGCATTTCACAGCACACCACTAATTTGTTTTCTTTCTAAAAAGTCATACAAAGCTGACATACTCGCAGGGAGTCATCACTTCATTCTGTTGTATGAATGGCTGCAGGTGGATACACAGGTTGCCATCTGATGGAAGGTTATTTCATTGTTCTGCCTCTCACTAACAGGTATACATTCTTAATAAATGAAATCAATAATAATCTTCCAAATCATTTATCATTTTGCCCCCTGATGATCGATCATTACACACTTGAGTGCCATGGCATCCTTGTTGTTAATCACTGAATTACAGTGTGTTTCTTTTGTGCTACACTACCACAAAAGTGTAACGGGGATGGCAAAGACAAAACCTTAGACTTAATTTAACTTCCTGCAATATCGGAAAACGGTTTCGGCTATGCGATATATTATTCTAGCGTAAGGAAACTATTAGTCCTAATGTGAAGAGAAGCGCCCTCTGCATGTTTCTTTGCCCCTATTATATCTTTTGCTACCCACGTGCACCTAATGTAATGGCTGATGAGCGAACGAACCTGTCACATGGGATTTGCACTGACACTGTCCTGTGTGCTGGTTACAGCTGGCAACACCTCCTGGGGAGGAACTGACGGTACCCGTGCCACTGCAGTTACAGCGAGTGCAGCCCTCTGGATTGGAAGCTTGAAGACCATACCAGCCAGGTGAGCAGTCCGCACAGCGCCGCCCCTCTACAGATGCCTTACACTGACACTGGCCTCCAACCTGGAGGTGTGAAATGTAGCGGGGTGTTGGTGACCGGAAGCAACGGCACAGTATGGCACAAAAAGCAAAAATACATATTGATTCAACTTCAACTCCTATTCCCAAATGACATTTTCTGTCATGACAAGTGCAATTGTCACTTATCAAATAAATGTGTTACCTGGACACACACAGTGCTGCCGTTGACAGTTCCAGCAGTGTGACATTCGCAGGGCTGGCACACATGGACTGAAGTGGGATCTGACTGCTCTAGCCTGAAAAAGCCACTCATACACAGCTCACAGTTCCTACCTGAGCAAGAAAGGGAGGAAATAGATGTGTAAAAGCACAAACCCAGAAATCAAGGGACTGGGCTTGAAATGATTTAAGGCACCAAGAGAGCCCCTAAGTCTATAAACCAATTACGTTTCAACTTCATTTGTCTCAGGAGTGTTAAAAGTGACTTTGGGGGGGGGGGCTGACAGGTACAAAAAAGCCCAATAAGAAAAGCAGGTTGAAGAAAGGCCCTAAGCGCTTCCAATAATCTGTATCATAAATTAAAAAGTACAACCACTTAAAACATGTATAATTTAAGATAATACAGTACCCATTGTATTGTGCATGCAGTTGTCACAGACTCCTCCTCCTCCCAAATATTGTTCTGTTGGTTGATCATCAGCCCAGATATCGTAGTGACAGGAGTGGGCGTGGTTATGGCACTGGCAAGGACGACAGTTCATTGGCTGGAGTTGATCACCTGGCCGGAAGGGTTTGTCATTGTAGAGGGATGCGCAGTGTTGGCACTGGACAGAACGAAGAATTGCTCAATACATGCATTTAACAGTCAGAATATATAAGCTCACCGCCAACCCCGCATTTGTTCCAATTGTATACTGATTATACAAAAACAATGGCCAAAAGATAAGGAATTTGTCTTCATATTTCACAGACCACCAAAATAGGCAAGATTAAAAAAATTACTCAATGTGAGTCAAGTGTTGACTGTGAACTAATTTAAGACATGGACACTTAAGGAAGAATCATTTAAAGCCATTTGCAGAAGACCATCGATTTCATGAGCTCCAAAGTAGTTGGACAAAGCAAGTTAATTTACAAAGCATATTGGAATTACATTTGTTATGCAATCGCCCAATCCTGACAACAATTACTTAATTGCTACAAGCATTTTATCGCCTTTCTGGAGGTTTTTGAATAAATCACCCCACATTGGAAACATGATTTTGTCAACGCAAGTGCCACACACAGGCAGCATGAAATAAAACATTGTCTTCATGACAAAGGCCTTTTCTGTCTGTGCATAAAAACAGTCCCGTGACATATAGATCATCTTAAAGAACAAAGAAAAAATAAGACACAATGAGAGAGGAGGAAAATGAAGACAAAAATCAGCAGCCCTTGTTAATCATAATACGAGACAGAAAGAATACACGAATGAATACTTTGGAGATCACCATGAGATATTGTATACTTTATAATAGGAAGGCAGTGCATTTACACACAAATTAAGTCGTTCACCCACCGCGGGGAAATCGGAAACGCTAACGAGGAATGACTTGCAACAGCCAGCATTCTCTCACAGGCACACTTTCATGTCAAAATAAACATGGCAAGGTATGTGTGGAGCACAGGGTGGGAGGAGTATAAAATAAAAAATGCATTTTTTTTTTTCTTCAGCAGAGTGCTGCAGTGGAGGCGAGAAACAGCAAGTACAAGGCCTTTGATTTTGTTCAGCAGTCAGTACAAATTACGGTGGACAAGGGGGGCATCAAATGGGGGGGCGGGATTAAAAATGTATTAAAAAAACACAGGAGTTCCTCCCTTACGTGACACGTGCAGAGCTGCATTGGACCTATTCGGTATGACATACAGAGGAGGGGAACTGCGGGTGCACAGAAGAGGGAGATGGGAGCGAGGAGGAAATTGGTGTGAACAGAAATTAAGTAAATAACCTTTAAACCCATGTAGTAACCGAGAAATAATTTTTTAACATGCTATTCAGTATCCAGTCAAGGTTTTGTGAAATACAATTCACAATTGTACAGAGTCTTGCCCAATGAAGTGGTACCTCTACTTCGGGAATTAATTGGTTCTGGAAGAAATTTCTTAAGAAAATGTGTAAGTAGAGACGCGTTTTCCATGTAAATGCCCTAATCCGTTCTAAGCCCCCCCCCCCCCACCCCAAATTCAGACATACATGTTTTCTAAAGCATAAAAAAATGCATCAAAATATGTAACAAATACATGTCACAATTAGATTATTGCACAATAAATGAGAGCTGTGCATCAGTGGTTTTGCCTGGCGTTTTGTAAAGAACTGATCCAAAGACGTTAGCGTTTGTTGGCTTTTAACAATCCTTCGAAAATGTCCAAGGCAAACATCAGCATAGTGAGCGATCACCCGACTGGTGAACACTTTTTTGGTGGGTGATTCACATTTACGAAAAACTATTGGAACACCTCATGGCCCAAGGGGCGAATGACGAGGACGCTCCATAGACATATCTCTATCTATCTGCACACATAGACACATACGTAGAGGTCCCTCGTAGCCAATAGGATGACAGGATGCTGCTCGGTAATAGCCAATAGCAGACTAGCTATAAGTATGTTGCGTTCAGGAAACTCAGAGCTGCGCGTAGCAGCCCGTACTGTATTTTTACCTTTCGTATCTTGAAATTTCTTTCGTAACAAGAGGCATTATTTTCCTGGTGAGGCGTTTCATTACTTGAACATTTCGTATGAAGAGACGTTCGTAAGTAGAGGCACCACTGTAAACAAAATACAAGAAGGAACTAGTAATGGTTAAAAAACAAAAAACAAAACAAAAAAACGCTGCGCTTAAAATGGTAGATCAAGGTACTGGTGGGGGGACACAATTTTTCATCAGTGCTACTCGGGAGCCACATAGCACCAGGCACTTCCAAACCAGATGAATGACAAAAATGTCATTTTAAAATATGGAAAACATTTGTACATGCATACAAAATACATGCTGTTAATACATTTCCTTTTTCATCATGCATGTTTTGATAAAAAAAAATGCACTTTCCTCAGCCAACACCAAAGGTTTTGAAGCAAACAGCAAAATAAGCAAATACAGTGGAACCTGCAGTTACAAACGACACTTTTGTTGAACTTTTCAAGGTAGGCACAAAATTTTGGGAGAAAACCTTTTGTTTTGCGAACCAGCTCAGCATAGATGAGCGGACGAACAGTGCAGGGCCTCTCGCTCATTGGCTCTGTGAGTAACTCCTTGAAATAGTTGTGCTGTCTTTTTTTTTTTTCTTTTTTTACTTTTAATTAACCCTCAGAATCATTTGAAGGTTACAGTTGGCTGTAAGCGTCCACCCAAAACCCACATAAACTCGATGGTTGCTCTGCGGCAGTAGATAGACGGCTGTTGTGTGTGCAGCCGGAAGTTCCACTTACACACACCTGCTTCTTCCAATCACAAGTCTCACAGCGGCCGTCGAGATTTCTAATTAACCTGGCAAAAATGTTTGCCGCTTCTTTGCTTTTGTGTATTATTTCATAGCTTACTTCCATCTCTATGCACTGATTCGTAAGCTGACAGCCAAACACAGTGGCCAGTTGTCACAGACGGCCAACTGCGATCGATGGCTTATTCATTTAGATTATATTTGAAAACACAATGACCAAATATTTCGTACTTTTATACAACTCTAAATGTTGTTTTTTACTTCGGTTCATTCCTGCTTGTATTGTGAGTGTGCTAGGCAAGATTGTTGTTTTTTGTTTCATGAAACCATGACTGTGGATAGTATGACAAACAATTACGGCCATGTACAATCGGTTGTTTGGTATGGCGTTGAAGTAATCATTTTGAGTCACACTGATTGGAAGAAAAAAAAAATCTGTACAAAATACAGATTTTTTTTTTTCCTGAGTCTGCATTGAGATTGGTAGTATTTTGTTTTCTTTAGATATGGATTTAATATAAATGTATTGTGGCAGACTCTCAAGGGATATAAGAACATTGCATCTGTGAGAAAATGGCAGGCAAGTCAAAGGTATCAAAATCTTTCTCTAGATGTGGGAGTGGCGGCCATGGTCATCACAAAGCTCCGTCCCTATATGCAGACACTTCAGAGGTGATGCTCGGAAGTCCTGCACGTCTGCTCCTATGTTTGCAATCAGGCACAACTCTGTATGCCACTGTGTAATTGATGCCCAAATCTATTCAACTTGCCCATCTTGATACATCTCAATGTGCTAAAACCGCATCAAAGTGAATCCAAGTACATTCCTCTCTGCACTTTGAACAGACAGCTCTCGTAGCGTTCTTTTCTTGGAGTCATCCACTGGGAAGGAGCTCAAGAGCAAGATGTAGTCAGTTTACAAGTCTCGCCCATATACATCCATCCCTGATCATGCCCCTCTCCACTCCTCAAGCTGAATACACCCACCATCCCACCCTTCTTTCCCAAGTCTTTTTTGCTCATTTTCCCACCTGTCTCCTTAATGCACCCCCCCCCCCCCACATCTCTGGCATTCCCCAACAACTTGTTCTCATAGCTACTTAGAGTATGTGAGCAGGAAATATTACCATAGCAAATGAAAAGGGGGAGGATTTTTTCCCCCCCATTCTTTTTATTCAATGTTGCATTACCCTCCCTCTCTCGTAGCTTGCTAATTAGTCGAGGGATTGGTGTTTGGGAGTTAAGAGTGCACATATTCATTCTCTTCAAGTGAAAAGATTCTGATGGCTCTCAGTTTCTGTAAATAGTCTAGGTGACAATGAAGTACCATAAATCTATATGGTATTCATTCTATTACTTCCTATCTCGACATTAAGTGTGATGTTTATAACCTGAAGCAAGGCTGTTACTATCGTAGCAAATAAAACAAATGTAACATGACTGAAATAAGACAATTGTAATGAATATCACAAGTTGAACACCTTAAGAAACTTCTGTCGTCATCATCATCATCAAGATGCCACTGCTGTACGTATGCTGGTTAATATCAATTATCTTTATTTATTTATTTATTTTTACGTTGTACCTCAACTTATTTAAAGAGATCACTTCATGCAGATTACAGTTTAGCCAAAATGTAGGAAAGCAAACTATACTATAAATCATATTTTCCCCGTGAATGTTCTGTAAAAACCTGCTGAGTGAGAAGCCTGCTTTAATGGATGTGTGGACATTCAGATGGCCTGTCACAAGCAACTGTGTGTGTGTGTGTGTGTGTGTGTGTGTGTGTGTGTGTGTGTGTGTGTGTGTGTGTGAGCGTGTGCCTGCGCAGCATTGGTCTGCGATAATCTGCTGGGGCAACTCATCTTATCCTAAAAGCCATGACCAATTTCACGCTGCCACTGGAAAGGTCGTGCCCCAAGAGTGTGTGTGAATGTGCGTGTTTGCGTGCAGACACTCTTCTTGTGTGTATCTAAAGTTAACCCGGTTAACCCCTGCCTAGGTGCAAATCTGCTGTTGAAGCAGATGTTTGCGGCAGCGATGCTGGGCAGCCCTTCTTAACGTCACAGCCTATCAATATCCATCAGGCACAGATGCAAACGCGTACAGAAAAGTGCCACTTTGAACGAAACACACCACGCATAAATGGCAGCCATGTTATAACAGCCATATTACTTTACTAAGACTGTTTTTCTGGATCAATTTAGCAACTTTTTGTAATCACCAGTGGGAAAAGTTAGGGACAAGGACATATTACTCAATTAATTGATCATTAAAAAGTCTGTCAACTGTGTGGAATTAAATTGTAAACTGTGTCTTGAAGCAATGAGCACAGTTGCTGTTCATTAGTCCCATCCAATCCTCTACTTCATTGAAAAAGGGGTTCAGAACATTTGGGGAGATTCAATTAAAAGTTGTTTTTTTTTTTTTTCCAAATACATCATCTATGCATTGATTGTTAACGTTCTTACAAGTCTAAACCACTTTCAACTCTGCGTTTCCGTGACACCGTGACATTTGGTGTGTTTTGAGAGTTCTGTCCAGGGGCAACTTTTCAACGCCTCCTGTTCCTGCTTCAAGTTCAAAACACAATTTTAAATTGGATGAGCAGTGAGGAAGAGTAAAATCAAAACAAAACATCGCTTTTATGTGGTTGATAGCTTCCGCCAAATTAGATTCCTTTGCTGTAACTCAGTAATCACTTCAAATGTAATTTTGCCCTTAAAGTGCACCCTCAATTTTTCCATCATGAAAAAAATAAAAAAATCAGAGCTAGATAAGGTCCAAAGCTGCATTTTAAATTTGACACCCCCCCAAAACATCTACACCTTTCGCCTATAGTGCCCACAAAACGTTTGAGGGACGGAACATGCAATTTAAGGACTCACTGTTTGGGATCTCGGAAAATCAGGCCTGCAGCATAGTATGGTATGGCGTGATATGAAATATCATGATATAGTTTTCAGATGTGACTGAATCCATCAGATGTGGAGGGACAGAATGACAGATTAAGTGTGACTCGGAGTGCACATAAGAAAGCATCAAAAGACACAGTGAGAAAGAGAGGGGTGGGTGGTGGTGGTGGGGGGTGGGGGCATGTTTGAGTGCGTTTGAGCTTCTGCGAGTTATAAGAGTGTGTCTTCCGAGGCCCCCGTTGATCATCTTGACACATGTCTGAGCATTTCTGTCACTTTAATGTCACTGTGGAAATTCTGCAGATTAGCTGAACATCCGTCATGGCGCGAGGCCGATTCAAGTCAACAGAACACATGCAATATTAAACGGTAATATTCCCCACAGCCTTTTATTACCGAGGTAGAAGAAAGGTCTTGAATATTCACTGTGAGGGATGAGGTGCAAAGGCTTTGGGAGAAACATGCACAGGGACATACAAACAAACGCATGCAGACACGCATGCACATTTGCACGCTGTCTTTTACCAAACCCTCCAGTGACAGAAATGTGCGTGGCATACGCACAACAAAGCAAATCAAAGTTACCGTATTTTAGGTTGAAAATGAAAAGACTTCAAAGACCCCAAGACTGGGGATGGTCATATGAATCAATGGGGAATTTTTTGCGTCTTGTTTAAAAAAAATAAGTTCATCTTGTGTCTTCTGTCATGAAATAAAAAAATATATATATAAAATACAATAATTGAAAAAATATATTACGTTGAGAGGGAAAAAAATAATTGATGTTAACAATAACTGAAGGACGTTTCTTGATTTTGACTGAAACAAATTCGTTGGAATACCTCTCCACACTTGGGACAGCGGAAAGACGGATTAAAATGAATAAAATGCTTTTGACACAGGCCAAATATGAATTGAGCGGTGCCAAAGAAAAAGTGCGGTGAAATGGAGCAAACGACAAACAGAGAGAAAGACATCTGATTAGAGATGCATGCTGAGGGAATGTCATTGTTCTAGTCGATTTAAGACATTATTTCAACTGCGACCCAGGAGAGACGGCATGAGACAGCAGTCGACAAAGGATGGAGACGGGGGGGGGGGCTGTAAAAGAGATAACAAGGGTGGAAAAGAGGAACAGATTTTTCATGCGTATTAGTCAGAAATGTAATTGACAATGTCTTATTAAGTGTGCGCCTTATGTGACAAATTCCATTTTTGTCTGTAGTCACACAGCAACGTTTGAAGGAATCAAGCAGGAATGCTTGACGTTTGGCTAGCAACAGAAGTGATGCTTGTCAAGAGATCTACGTTAGCTGACTCAAACACACCAACGCCCGTGTGTATCAATGATACATTAAGTTGTGAATAATTCAGGCAGGCCTTGCTCAGGTGAAGTGGTGCAGGCGACCAGAACTTTTCACTGCTGACCAACTTGGAGGTGTGTCAGAAAAAAAATTCCAAGACGAGTGTCACTAAATATCTCTTTCAAAACCCAACTACAAGTTTTCCCCCTTCAATGGAATTGCCCTGGAGGACATACTATAGGCTCTCTGCAGCCACTGAACCTTTGTCCACGTTTTTTTTATATATCAGTACATATTTTGTGTTTTAGGTCATCAAGTTCAGTTCATCAAGTGAGCAGAGTCACTGATGCTGTGACCAAAGAGAGCAGACTTGCCAGAAAGTCATCACAGGTGGTGATTCATGGATCTTGGAGTGCGACCCAGAGAACAAATGCCAAGGCCATCAGTGGAAGCGTCAAATGTTGCCAAGGCTGAAGATAGCAAGGGAGCTGAAGTCCAAAGTCATGTTGATGGCGCGCTTCAACGTGACAAGCGTCATCCATTGTGAGTTCTGGGCATAAGGGCCAGACAGTCAGCCAGCAGGTCAATAAGGAGATCCTGCGGTGTTTGCTTTGTTCAGTTGGCAAGACGAGATGAAACTTGTGGGTGGACCACTTGTAGCTACTTCACCATGACAGTTTACCCACTCAGAATATACTGAGCATATGAAAGTTTTCGAGCCAAGAGAAAAAGAAAAAAAAAAAAGAAAATCAGCATGTTGGGTCTCCGTCTCCCCTCACTGAGCTAGCTTCTATGTGATTTTTTTCCTCCTCTTTCCCAAGCTTATGGGTGTCATCAAGGGGGTCAGTTTTTTCAGAAAATGGACCATATCAAGATGGCAGAGGCGTGGAAGAATGCATCAAGACTCGGCAGAGAGGGCCAGGAAGCATGTTCGACTCCCGAGAGATTAATGTGAAGCAGAAAACTTGTCATTTGGATTTGAAATACATTATATCTTTTGTGAAATCAGTCCTGGAACTTTTATGACACACACTGGAGACAATTTATTGCAGAGTGGATGAAATATCCACTTTTAGTAGGGAATTAAAATGTCACTATGCACAGTACAACCAGAAGAAGACACGTGGACATTGATATTTCTCATTTGAATGAGTCTGTCATCGCACGTAGGCCTCTTACCTTTTTGACCTAAAGTATGATGCAACCCAGTAAGTGATGCAAGGCGGGCAAAATAAGCCCTTTTATTGAGGTGTGAAAAGTCAACTGATGCCAACAATTCCTTTCAAAAATCATTTTGAAGGCACTTTCCCCTGATGTGAAAAATCATACCATTAAGTACTAACAGCAGTTCTCAATATAAGCACAACGATTCACGAAACTAAGTCATATAAGCAACATATAATGTGATGGCCTAACGGTGTTTTCTGAGATGGACTGTACATTTATATTCCATATTACTGTGCGTATATGTGCGTACATGCTTTCTCTGTTGTTAAGTGGTAAACTATAAGGAGACTCTCTCTTGGTGGTTTAGTCTGTGCTTTGAGGGGGCCTGTCCACGTACATACTGGAGGTGTATGAATGCGTAAAAGGCATGAGTTTCTGACAAGCGTTATCAGTTTTCAATATTACGTTAAATTATGGGAGACCTCTGAAATGTTGGGACTCATAAAGAGACTTAAGAACTCTACTTATGTATGATTTATACTGTAGCGTACAGACTGCATGTGCTGTGTCAAAACTGTTCTATTTTCGAGTTAAAATATTTGCTACTCACATTGTTTCCATCGGTGTGGCTTTCAGGCAGACACAGGCAGCGGTAGGGGGAGACACTGGTATCGCAGTGATCAGCGTGGCCGTGACACTCGCATCTGTTTGCATAGCAGAAAGTACAAGAAACGTAAGACAGGTAGTGTGTAGGTACTCTCGTCGACGACGTTGCACAACCAAAAACAATTCTTACAGCCGGAACCACGAAAATGGATGAGGAGCTTTTCCTGCTTTAAAGTTTAGGCTTTGACCAGTACGTTCATGGAATGATAGAAGGGCCATTAGGAAGCTCCCATTCAACATTTATAAATGTCATGCAGAAAATGATCAGAGCAACATAACATGCAACAGACAACCATCTCCCTCGCTCACTCTTTCTCTCTCTCTTTCACACATGGCCACGTAGCGAGACAGCCATTTAATTATTCATTCAGACATTCACATGATTTTCTTTCTTTCATTCGTTCTTCTGTGTATCCTTTCACCTCCTGCTCCCTCTGTGCCATTTGTCTGTTCTCCAGTGACCAGATTAATGAAACGTGGTGCATATTAGCACAGAGGGCTTTCCATTCTTTATTAACAAGCGTTTGTAGAAAGTTGCATTGTTTTTGTTGTAGCAGACATTACAGAAATCAGACTTCAAATGACCGTATTTTCCGCACTATAAGGTGCTTTGGGGTATCAGGCACACCTTCACTGAATGGCCTATTCTAGAACTGTTTCATCTATAGGGCCCCCGCATTATAAGACACATAGAATAGAAGCCACAATAGTGGCTGCGGTTGCGCATGCATCCACTAGATGGAGCTACGCAAAAGGGAATACAATGCACTACAATATATCTTTATTTATATAAACGGCTTTCACAACGGCTGCAGCTGTAACAAAGCACTTTACAGAACATTTAAAATACTACGTCCAAGAAATCAGAATATTGATCCATATATAAGGCACATGAAATGCATGTACTGCTTTGACCTTTTACATTAGTGACCATGCTGCACACTATTGTACTTTTTCTCTCTGTATGTATGTCTCACATTTACATTTTTTGTTGTTGTTGAATAGTGTTTTTTTTTTAATCTGCACTCTCTCACGTAATGACCATTTGCTTGGTGAAAATGGAATGGGAAGGAATGCAAAGGATTCAACGATGAAATTCCACTTATTCAAAAGTAACAAGCTACTAATTAAAATAGCTAAGTGGGAATGGAAGGACAGTAAGAAATGATTGCCGACTGTATAATTCTCTTATTACTAGTCGTAAAAAGGGATGCTGCCAGTCTAATAGAAAAATATATTTTAAATTACTCTCAAAACCCGCATTAAACTCAACATCGGATGGATCTTCCTTTCTAATCCCCAAATGTCTTCGTAAAAATGTTGAAAAATATTACGATATAAAGTTTGAATTAAGTACTTCACGTACGACAGTGGAAAGGATCCAGCAGTCTGGCACTCATGATGAGGGAGCCCCTTCATTTTCATTTCAACACATTCACATCACACTCTCTTAATTTAAACCACATAAAACCACAACATTTCAGATCCATGTCACATCAGTGAATCCCACACATTTGTTTTTGCTGTTGTAGCCAACTTCCGCGATTCACTGAAAAACTCACTTATTTCCAGAAAGTATTAATTGTTGTATGTTGAAGTGATACATCAGGACTGTTCTACCTTTATAAGATCAAAGTTCAACAGGGGTTGTGATTGGGAGTACAAAAAGTTACAGAGAGATGTGTATTATTTCTTTATTTATTTATGCATTTTGCTTTGCTGAGTGGCTACTGAAATGATAAACCTAAAAAGCAAATAAACGGTTGGGGGGGGGGGTTAATTACGTTACAGCTTGGATAGGCAACACACGTACACTGAATGTGTATCAAACTCAAATGACCTATCAAGCATTAATAACAAGTTTGAAATGAGATTAAGTATTTGACGACCATAGTTTGCTATACATTTATGTTTTAAACTATTTATACAGGCAAAGCTAAACATTTTTTGGGAGGGAGGGCAGTTCTTGCATTTCTTTCCCTATTTGCGGCAAGGCTCTGTCGCCGACAAATATTTAGATTTCATACTTGTAACCCACCTGCCACTGATTGTGATTTCTTTGATGGCATAGTGTCTGTGTCGTTGGTCCACACCAGCTGCTCTGGTGTGGTACTGTCCTCCAAGATGGATCCGCACCTGAGTTGCACGCACCATCTTCTGAAGGACGGGGGCGTTGTAGAAATCATTGTAGCCTGGCCTCATGTTTGGCTCTGGGCTCAGCAGGCTGACTGTGATGTTACCGCCGGAGTAGTGTTCCTCACTGGAATATATTCAAAAAGGAAAAAAAAACAAAAGGCAGAAACTGCCATAACCACCAAATGCTGTGAACAACAAGTACAAATGCTAAACTTCATACTGTTGAGATACTTTCTTCTGCTCTAGGTGAACTCTTCATCTGCTATCTATAAAACAAGACATTTTTACCTTTATATGAGACAAGATGCAAAAAGGATCCCCTGGAGCACTTTACGTCATGATGATCAGAAAACACTTCAAACAACACGCCGGCATTCATCTTTACAAACACTCGTCTGAACTCACAGGGCACAAAGTCTCGGGCAGGATTAAATACATCTCACAAGATGAGAAATGCAAATCTTCCGGGATCAAGCAAAGCTTTCCCTTATTGATATGATTATCAGGCGCTAAGGTCAGAAAGCGTTTTATGATGTTGCCAACGCGAGGTACAACTGCTCTCATGCCAAATTACCTCACGAGTGCGAGTGTGCCAGGCACTGTAGTATGTGATATCATCTGTCAGTCAAGCAAAAAATGAGCAATGACGACATCATCTGTGATCTCACGCAGGTAGGTAACCCTAGCCATTCTATCTTGTGCCAACTCGGGCCTTGATAGCAGCAGATCTGCCAAAATGTAGCCTGTGAGACACAGTGTGTGTGCGCGAGTGTGTTGGACGGTGTATCTGGTATCAAAGGAGGGCCTGGAAAAAGTCATCTTGGTGCAAAGCCTGAATTTATACAGTCCTTTGCCATGTGTGCAATCAGGGGTGAAAATGGGTGCCTATTGCAGTCAGCTGTGTGTGCGTTTAAGCTAGTATGCCATTTGCGCAATATCCTTTATGAACAGGACGTTAAGCCGACGCAAACTGCGGGCGCAAGTGATGAGCAATTAAAGGGGCCATCTGCGGCCGCAGTTCAGTCTTTGTGGTTTCGGCCCCGAGTATTCAAACGCATGTGTCAGGGGCGACTGTACCTGGGGAGCTGGAGACAGTTGACTGAGTCCGGTGTTAGCAGTGGCCCATTGTTCTGCATCTTAAATACGCTGCAGTCTTTAGCCACATACTGCCAGTCCAACCAGGGCTGCTCTACATTGGTGCTGTTCTGTTGATCGGGGAGTCTTCGCCTTTGGATCAAAAGTGACTCAGGCAATGGGCCACCAAACTGAAGTAAGACGTAGAATACCTGAACCGGAGAGGTGGAATAAAAGGAACATGGTACCGGCAAAATTGTATTCCAAATGAAGAAGAAACCTCAATTAGAGGTGTTAAGTGAAGAAAGAATATAGGAGGGGAAACATAAAGAAAGCACTGATATTGAATTACCTGATACTGTCCATTTACCAGATCCACGGTAATAGTCAACCCTTCGTCCAATTCCCGTGTGGTCATGAGTTTTGAGCGCCACGCGGTGCCCATGTCCTGATCATTGACATAAGCGAGTGGATGTGCATTGAGGTTTAGCCTTAAGACTCGATCGTTGGTGGTGTCCTCAACAGCATTGGGGATACAATATCTGAGAAACATTGACGTCGGGGGAAATTAAAACAGAACTGAAAAACATTTAGGATGCTAAATGATCAGCTCTAAAGATCACTATAACAATTTAAGAAATATAAGATGGATTGATGGATGGATAGGTCATGATGCAGCAAACTTGTAGCGTACCTTTCCACTAAGGGGTGCACTCTGGGATGAGTGGGAGGGCAGCGACACTCAGATTGAGAATGGAGCTGTGGCAAGTCACCTGACAAAATCTCCATTATTTCCCTGTTGAATTAAAAAAAATGAGGAATTGAACATAACATATAAACAATAAACTAGATTAATTGCATGATTAAAGTGATTAAATAACACTTATTTTCTTCCCTAGCAGCAGTACAATGTTTAGCACAATGCATTTCGGTCTAGATATTTAAAATGAAATTGTTAAATACTTGTTAATTGTTTTTGGTTAGTTTTTTTGACAGAACACGAAGCATAAAATTGTCACATTTTGTCTCGTCTATGTTCTTACTGTCTGCATCACTGTCAAAAGAAACACTAATTGTCTTGTATTGAATTTCAAAGCAAAATCCAACCTGGAAGCAGTATGGATTTTAAGACACAAGGATTAGACCTCCTTTCTTTCCTCTTCATCATTCAAAACTAATCCGTATCTTTCCTTTCCCAGCATCAGGCCGCCACCATTGATTCATTCACAAACCCGTTCATTGACACGTGTGCATTCATCTCACCTGTTGGTCAAAGTGGCAGGATAAAATCTAAAGTCCTGCATCCGCCCGATGAACTGATTGGACCCTGGAGAGATGAAAAGAACACCGGTTAGGTGTTAATGGGTTTGTACTCAAGACACAGAGTGAGAGGATTTCACAGTGTTTAGTAGATTATCTTATCGGTTTCTTGATAACAGCTAAGTGAAAGCGCCCATACAGCTGCTCATATAAGCTTGGTTCATGATCCGAGGCTGACAAAGATCAGTCCCCAGCCTGCATTCGGTGCCACTAAAGAGCAGCGAGGCTTTTAAAACACTTGGCATTCGCCAGAAACTCATTCAATGTGGAGAAGTACAGCATGTGAAAATAGCAGACTGGACATAGACTGTAGCTAATCTCTGCTGCGTTGCGATTGTGTGTTGGAAGTCAAGGAATTTTTTCATCACTTCTAAGTCACTCTTTTCAGACACTCCTTCATACAGTGAAGCCTTTATGGACCTTGATTTATGCACTGAGGCTGAAGTCATGCCAGAACAGAAAGTGGGTCTCATGCAAAGTTGTAAGCATGGAATTGTACAAAATGGCCGGTAGAATTAAAGTCCAAGGGGTTTAACTCGACCACCAGTTGATTGCTTAACCCTTTCAGAACTGTGTCCAGACCTTTGTCTTTGGGCTTTGAACCTCAGAAAAGTGTGATAGCCGACTATTACAAGCTCCATTAAGCAGACAAACTCTTCAAACAAGCAGCTCAAAAGCTTAAAATCAGCTTTTACCCAGGAGAAACTGGTAGGAATTAGTCGGGTATGAAAAACTGTGATGAGGTGTGCTGCTGACTGATGCAGAGAAGAAAAGCTGTGTGAGGACTCCACAAAAGAGGTGCCATCAAACCCAGAAGTGAACACATCTCAACACGCAAGCCTCCAAACGTGACAATGCTGGCTTGAACATGAAAGACTAAAACACAAACGGGCAATGATGTTGGTCCAAAGAGAGCGCGGGTGTTTTAGTGTGCAACAAAGTTGCCTAGTTTGACAACAACTGTTAGAAAAAGGATATCGTCTCTAAGCGTTGACAGAAGCCCTGCCATGTCTAGCTTTGTCCGAGTTTCCGCGTTTGTGTGTATTCCAAGAAACTCCAAACATGAGCCTATGCATGTGTGCGCGCTTCCGTGTGTACGTATTTGCGTCCGAGGGAGGCTTTGCCGCGTTTTGGCTTGAGCACATTGTCCAACTGTGAGTGTGTGCGCCGAGGTGGGTATGTGTGTGTGTGTGTGTGTGTGTGTGTGTGTCGGAAAACTGAATGAGCGTGCGAGAGTGTTATGTGATCGAAGTGTGTTCGAACAGTGTGTGGTGGTGCAGCCTGAGGCTTTGGCTGAGGATTTCTCGCGTGTGGAAATTGGATTAGGGCTTCCTCTGTAAAGCACTCTGCCTATTGTTACTGGGATGATGCAAGGTATAAGCCTTAATTCTCCCTTCTGTGTGTAGGTCTCTGTCTTCCAGGCTCCGCGTTTCAGTCCTCCGCTGCATTGTTAAGTGGCTTTTTATTTTTTTAATTTCATCTTGTTTGGAACTGTTGAAAGCAGATACCAGCAACGATGCGCGTTTTTTGTGACTTGTATGCATTTTGTTTTTGGGGTTCGCACCATATTGTACTCTTGCTCTTTTCAGTTTCATATCTGGTTAATTATGACAAACTTGATTACAAGTATAAATGGAGACACCTACTAAAGAGGACATCACGTAATAAGTGAATAAGTGCCTGTGTGGCTGGATTACTACTATCACCACAAATGTCCACTTTATAATTCAGGATTAAATTAAACACAAATGTTAAAATCAGAACTCACAAGAACTTTGCAGATTCAAAGACAATGTCAGTCGTCTACCGAGCACTCTTTCCCCTGCCCGCACTGAGAAAATGTTGAACTTTTAATGACATAGGTTGGAAGAGTGTAAATGAGCGTTCATACTGCAGATGCATCACAAACATATCCGATTAATAGCCACATACGAAAGAATGTGTACATTGTATGAAAAAAAAACAAACTCCCACATAGGTGTCACGTAGTTTTCTGATGACATATTCCTCCCAATTCCCATGTAGGTGTAGTACTACCAGGGAGGAGGGAGAGAGAGAGAGAGAGAGAGAGAGAGAGAGAGAGAGAGAGAGAGTTTGGCATGTGTTGACTCTGAAAAATCTATTGTTTTGTTAAACTGAAAGTGTGCATTAACATAATCGTTTTTAATTTTATATATATTATATATATATATATATACATACATATTTTTTTTGGAGGCCTTGAACATAAATTTTACATGTGATCGTTTCGACGCATGTTTATTGTTCCTCATCAGACAAAGAATTCTTCAAATTACAGACATCGTTGTTAATCAATACATCTGATCACCATTCACACAATCAATTCTCTGATGAAAATTCCAGACACAGCCCCCGGGGTTTGACGATCAGCTGCACATCCTCACATAACACACACACACACACACACACACACACACACACACACACACACACACACACACAGTGTGCAGAGCCAATCACTTCTATTGATCACAACCTCTGATGTGATCTTCAACTTATCAGATGCTACCCGCAGTGAACCAGGGATCAATGGCTGATAAACGAGAAGAAAAACACTCGTTTATCACTCTGGAGATGAACGGATATCATTTTTCTCTCAATGTCTCTCCTATTGACTCAGACACGGCTCCTGTGCGCCACCAATCTATCACAAATGTGTCGCTCAAAGGGAAGGGGGGCCAAAAGGTAGCGTCATCGTTGTCATCATATTAAGGAACACACAAAGTATGTACATGTGTACATTTTGCATATTTGGCACATTCAGACTTTCTCATTCAGGCTCTGTTGTGAGGTATTATGATGTGGAGGCCGGACTAGGGTTTGGCAATTTAGTGCTGGCCTCTGGTCCAGCTGCTCCCCTTCTCTGCCCAGGTAATCATCCTGTTTTAATGCATTATATAGCCGCAAGTTGTGTGGAGGGCTCTGTCAGGATGGGCAAGACATAAGGCCAGGTGTCTTGGCCTCCCTTCTTATTTCTGGCCCTGCCTGATATTCCCCCCATTAATTGTATAATTTTTAAATGCGTTACAATACATACATTTGTACATATTTTGAGAAGCTAGGTGGGGATGGTAAGGGGTCTCAGCTGAAGGACAACAGTGTCTCGGCTGAAGGACAACAGTGTCTCGTAAGACGTCTCGCCTCAGACGCTTCAGTCTCGGACCGTTCTGTGCCCCTTTCCCCTCTCTTTGTGGCTGGTCAGGGCAGTCATTATGCTGGGGGGAGTGCAGTGGATGCCAGGTCATGGGTGGTATCTCCTTGATTGGATCTTTCAGAGGCATGCAAGCCCGGCTCGCCATAGCCAGAGTGGGAGTATTTCAAACTCCCAGTTGCACAGTAAAACTGTTCCATTCAGCTGAACAGGACAGGTTTACAAATAAAAATAACAACAAATAAATGAAGAGGTATTTTTTTAACCGCTTACAGAAAAAAAAACTGTCAATGAATGTTCCATTCTAAGAATGCAGATGTGTTGATTTCTTCCTTCGGTTTCTTTTGAATTCTGAACTTTCGACACACTTTTGGAACAAACTTTGGTCGTGACATAACGACTAACAAAAGGCTTCAAGTTTTAATTGGTTAGGTAATTAACTTGTGACCGTTATTAAGAGTTATATATTTGAGTCATCTTTACCTTTGGAGCTGAGTCCCACCCTCATGGTGCTGTCCTCATTGCTGTCAGACAATCTGGCGGGCAGTGAGTGGGTCTCAAAAGGTGTTCCATCCTCCTCCAACCCATTCAGGAACAGACTGACATGCCTGTCGTGCACCTGAAAGTCCGTGAGAGTGACAATTCTAAGTTGTCCACCAAGAATGTCTTCAAAATCATACGTTTGTGCAGCGACAGCATCCAAAAAAAAAAAAAAAAAAAAAGGCTTGTGTGAACCTTCTTTTAGGTTCTTTCTAGCACAATGAATACAAACAAAATGCATTCAACTGCATCATGTGATGCATTACCCAAAACAGCTGGACTAGAAAAGATTTGGTCTTTCTGGATCTCCCAAAGATGGGGAGCACATCACACGGCGGTGTCACATACAGCAACACTAACTACACAAAGCCTTTATTTTTTACAGTATGCATTATTGTGTGAACTGTGTGTGTGTTTTTGAATGTACACTGATAATATACCACTGTTGGCCATTTGCAATGCTGAAAAATATGTGTTGGCAAATGTTGAATTCTCACACAAATCTCTTAACTCACGCAGAGTTTGGTTTTAAAAAAAACATTGCGTTTAAAAAAAAAAAAAAAGCTGTAGAAATAAATGCATCAAACTTTAAAATTGTACACACATTTTTGCGTGTGTGTGTGTGTGTGTGTGTGTGTGTGTGTGTTTGTGTGTGTGTGTGTGTGTGTGTGAATTATACATACGACTAATCTTCCAACTCATTTCCCCAGTAGCAGGGAAAGCCTGGGGCTAAACGGCTTCAGCGCAAATGAGCTTTCTGTTTGACCAAAAATCTCGGCGCTCTTGCCGCTGTTCTCGCTCAATCTGCAGCATGAATATGGAAAACGGTGCAACCAACAACATCGTCAAAGCAGCGGCAGCTCTCTTTCACATCAAACCCACAAGGGGGGCGGAGAAAAAAAAAAAAGAAAGACACCTCCATAAGAGAAACTTTAATGTGTGCTGTCGTGCTCTTTCCCTTTGCCCGATCTCCAAATCCGTTTTTTTGTGAAACACTGTGTGGATACTGATAATCGTGATTCTTAAGACCCCATCCCTCCTCCTCCTCCTTTTTCCATTTTTTATTTGGTCTGGACTTCCTTGCTTTGTCAATTGTATCATGTGACGACGTGTTCTATTTGTTTTATTTAGAAAATTTGAAAGGATTTTAATAAAGTGTTATCTGTCTCTGTCCACAACTTCTGCCAGCAATCAGTGCCTCTCCTTTCCTGAACTGCCGCGCAGGAAAAGAGAGGCAGAGCTCTTTAAGGAAGTTGAAAAGGTGTGAGGAGGGAAATAAGTCCAAGTTTAAAAAAAAAAAAAACGCCTTTAGGGGATGAAGGCAGTCCCAGACAAGTGTCTGCCTCTCAGAGGATGGTTAAGACGCACAGACAGACACTTTCATGATGGCTGATTGAAGACTGGCAAGCACATGAGAGCTCAGGAGAGAATGGGAGTAAAAGAAGGAAGGGGCGGAGGGAGGAGAGGAGAGGGAAAGTCAGAGAGGGAACCAGAAGAAGGGCCCACTTTAAGAATCTTTAAGCCTGAGCAGTGTGGCTCTTGGGGAGATGTGAGGCGGTTGTCAGAGCTGATGTAAATGAATAGTGAAGCGCTTCATCCTCCTTAGCCGCCACGCGGCCTTCTGAAATACAGCCAAGTCCTCTTTGTTCGCTCTCAGACAGTTTTCACTTTCCTCAATTCATCTGTTTTTGCTGCATTGCTTTCCTTTACCTTTCTACCCTAATAATTTTAGAACTCTCTCAGAACGTCAGAAATAGTCGTTTTTTTTTTTTTAACTTTACTTTTTTAAGTGGTGGTAACCACTCTCAGTTTGGGCTGATGCCAAACGGGCCCTATTCAATTCATGGATGAAAACGACTACTGTACTCAGTGGAAACTCGAAAGCGGCATAAATGTTTCTTTACCCTTTGCTATATTTGAGCCTCGAGACAATCCTGTCTGAGAGGTCTACAGACAATTCCTTTTGAATGGATGCTTGGTTTATGTTCTGATATGCACTCACCTGTGGGACCCTATAGAGACAGGTCTGTACCTTTCCAAATAATGTCAAATCCACTGAATTTACCAGAGGTGGACTTAATGGTTGTAGGAAGCTGTCAAGGATCATCAGTGGAAACATGATGCACATTTTGATCTTGGCTGTGTGTGTGTGTGTGTGTGTGTGTGTGTGTGTGTGTGTGTGTGTGTGTGTGTGTGTGTGTGTGTGTGTGTTTTCAAGATTTTCTGTCTCATATAGAAATATTTCAACAGAGTAGACGACACTTTTTTTTGCTATATTTTTGTTTACGTCAATTTTGTTCCTAAAGAATGCATTGTTCGAAGACTGCCTAACTCATCCTTAGGTTTTAAATAAATATATAAATAAATACTAAATACAAAAACACATCCCCTGGTAAGCACCTAAGCCTCTGGAAAAGCGAGCGAAGGCCAACCATGAGTGGAAAGCTTTTCGTGATCTGTCAAGGAGCAGTTTGACTCAAGCTCTTCACCATTTTCACACTTCTGCCAAGCCGTGGCTCAGTACAGAGAGAACCACGGTGTTTCCTCTATGCTCACTTGATAGCGGTGAGCTCCGGCTATAAGAGGCGAAGGAGAACACTACATACAAAACAGGCCAGGTTTGCTGCGTAGCCAACAGACATGGGGACAAACACTTTAACAATAGAGCAAACCACCAACCTGTGTGAAAAGGAATTCCCAAATTTGAGAAATCCCTTTGTTGGTGAACAGGAGGCAGGGACACAAATCAGATATATGAAACGCACAAGCACACTGGTTAATTGTACCCCTTGACATGACACTTTTGTTGTCTTTTCACACAACTGCATGTTGTTTCTCTTGGTGTCAAACATCAAATCTCCCCTTCCCAACATCCTGCCTCAAACATTCTTCACTCTCCCTTCAACCGCGCCAAGGATGTACTACCCAGTGACTGAATGAGTGACAAGCCACTCACTGATAAGACAAATACTAACACAGCCAGGGAAGCTGTCAATAAGGAGCAAGCGAGTGAGATAAAAGAGGGGACGGGGAGGAATGAATCAGGGATGTTAGAATGAAAGGTCTAATAAAAGAAAGATTTAAGTGTTGACAAAAGCAAAGCTGAACAACAAACACATACCGAGAGACCTTTTTGGAGCGCATTCAAAGAAAAATGGATACCTGTTGATCATTGAGGCTACACCGTTTGACAAAGACTGTGTACGTGTCTCTCTTGCGATTAATTTAAAGGGAATGATTAGTAGATCCGCTTTCGTTGGCCAGAAAGCATGTTGGTTGTCTTCACGGACACAACGGTGCAAAGGTCCCTTTCATCCAGCAGCGGTCAACGAAAATACAAAAAAAAAGAAAGAGCCACCAAGCAAACAGTTTGATTGCAATTCATGCTAGACTTGTGCTGGGCTCGAAAATGGGGCCCTAAATGTTTAAAAATCAGCTCGGTGTTTGAATTATACACTGTGCCCAAATTGGAACGCGGTTCTCCTCTTTCACCTATCTTTGTGCGTGTCCTCAAAAATGACCAGATAAACAGAAGCCCTGAAGGCCACAGTGTAATTTGATCACAACACTGAATGATCTTTACAATGGAAATAATCATAATAAACTGAAGCTTGAGGCGCAATTAAATGTCCAATGTGATTATAACAATTGGATCGTCTTCACTTTGGAATCTCCAGGCACATTGTCACCTTTCCTCACCCTCTCTCTCCCGCTATTGTCCTTCCTCTTCTTGTTTTTCACTCTCCAAGCTCCCCCCCCCCACCACCACCACCACCACCACCACCACCCAACTATGAAATGTTAGCAGGTCTGATGTACTGCCAATATTCACTATATTGTATTATGCTGTGTGCAGCGTGCGAGGCCAGAGATAGGAAGCCGAGGTGAGGAGCAAAAGAAATAAAAAGAGGAAAAGAAAGCGAGGGAGAGACACATTTGTTCTACTCATCTCAGTGCTAAAAGATACAATTACCTCTCACAGCATATTATCCATGTTTTATACCAGCCCAGGGCCCCGTGCCTTTGCCTCGCCGCGCTCGCCCCGTGTAAGGCCCATATTTTAACACTAGCTATGACAGTTTATTTAAGAAAAGAAAATTGTCCCCAGGGAGATGGGGAGAGAGAGGAACAGGGTGTGAGTGTAAAGAAAATGAGAGGGAGAGGGGGAAGGACGTAGAGGGTGGAGGTGAAGAGACAATGAAGGGGCGGTCGTAGAGTGAGAAAGGAGGTCGGAGGTTTCGGGGTCTTTGAAGAGATAGATGAGGCTCGGAAAGAGAAAGGGAGAGAAGCAGAGAGGGGAAAAAAAAAAGAGATCGAGGGCATATATAAGGTGACATGCCAACCTTTTAATAAAGACCATTAGTCTAGAAGACTTTTTTCCCCTTTCAATGCAGCAAGCAATGAGGGGGCATTCTGAGAAAAAAAAAAAAATTAAACCGCGAAAGGGAGGATGGACACATTGAGGGTTACACAGTCTGGTCAGTCATAGCCACGAAACAGACCTCTATCCTTGTCAACAAACCACTGCTTCTTCGAACAGAAATGCAGATATGACCTTAAATTTGTGGCAGTACAGTTGATTATTGCTTTATCGTCACAAGGGTCACGGGCATGCTGGAGCCAATCCCAGCCGTCTTTTGGCAGTAGGCAGGGTACACCCTGAACTGGTTGCCAGCCAATCACAGGGCACACATAGACAAACAGCCATTCAGACTCACAATCACATCTGGGGACAATTTAGAGTGTTCCATGAATCTACAGTGGATGTTTTTGGAATGTGGGAGGAAACCGGAGTACCCGGAGAAAACCCACGCAGGCCCTGGGAGAACATGCAAACTCCACAGAGGAAGGCGGGATTCGATTCCACGACCTCTGCCCTGAGAGGCGGACGTGCTCACCAATGGAACGACGTGCCACCCAGTTCACTTCAAGAACAATCAAACCTGCTTGCTGATTTGTGCTTCTCTTAACTGACCATGTGTGGGTTGTCTTCTGGTTCTCTGGCTTTTCCTAGTCCAAAATTGTTTGAAAACTTGCATAACAAAGAGTGGCATACAGAAGCAACATTATCATTACAAAAAGTGGGAACACTATTTCAATTTTCATTTCAAAAGTGTTAAATATTAAGTGTGTGCCTTGACAGTTTTGTCTTGCTACCTCAGCCACTCAATTCATTTATTGATTAGGGAATTGTGCAAAAATACATTTCAATAAAAATTATTGGAGCTATTATTTGTAAAAATTAGTCTTTGTCATATATATCTCTGCAGCTATTTGTCCCCAAATGGTTCTCTTGCATCCATTCTTTTTCTATTCCGCTTCTGCTCACTAGGGTCATGAGTGTAGTTCACTTTATCCAGCTGGGTACAGTCTGGATTGGTCGCCAGCCAATCGCTGGGCACAAAGAGACAACTAACTATTCACACCTAAGGATAATTTAGAGCAGGAGTCACCAACATGGTGCACATCGGTACCAGGCAGTCCTCAAGGGACACATGCGTAGCAAAACAGAACTGTTGTCAGGTGTTCTGAGGTCAAACTTCAAGCAAAAACTGCTGCTATGTTGGTTAAAAACTGCTCTGCGGTGGGTGGCACAAAACCTCGGGAGTTCAGAGCGTCATGAAAAGCATGATGACATCAGCATATGACACATGCTCTCGTGTGTCGGACATCAGTTCAACGAGCATCGAATGACACTTTTGGCCAAACTAATTTGAACATGAAGTGATGGAAGAAGCAGAATGTGAAAAGATTAGACGAATGCCACCATGCAATCAAGTGCCTCACATTCTCTCTAATTCCATTTTACCGATGAGAAAACGAGTCTTAAATGAGTGTCCCAACATTTTGGCTTCCAATATATGCCTTCTAATGGCTGCTCCAAGCACTGCATGGTATATGGTACCATGAGGCATTCAATAACGTCAACGTACGTACATGTGCCTCTACCTTTGCAAAATCCTGTTACGATGTTCAAATGAGTCACAGATTAGAGTCTTTGAAGTGAACTATCACTAGACTACTCTTCCTACAACCCCCGCCCCTTTCTCTCTCAGTCTCCTCCTGGCTACCTTTTCCTCCGCTCCTCTGTACATTGTTATCATAATCAGATGAGACAACTACCTTGGGAACAGCAGCCTCCCTACAGCACCTTGCTCCTGGCCCTGTGTGCGCACACATGATTGTGTGTGTGTGCGTGTGTGCGTATCGCTCCCGGCACTTGGAAACCCGTAATCCTTTAGACTGTCTTTTTTGCTGTTTTGATCTTTTCAAAACCGACAGATGACTAGTGTGTGTGCGTGTATGGGAATGTTTCTAAATTACCCATCTCCTTCATAAGGGAAATATCTGTATCGCTGCTGACACACAGCTACAAATTATCACTGAACTGCAAGTTGCTGTGTGAGCGTGTAGAAGAGGGGATGTGTGTGTGTGTGTGTGTGTGTGTGTGTGTGTGTGTGTGTGTGTGTGTGTGTGTGTGTGTGTGTGTGTGTGTGCCCAGGCATGAGAATGGCAGTATACGAATTGTGTTTGAATGTCAAGGATGATTATGTGACTACTCGGAATGGTCAAAGCTGATCACATCAGCACACCATTAAACAAAAGGCAGCCTGATTCACAGGAATACACGCGCACCATTTCCAAACACCTCCAAGACATAACACTCTCACTGCAAATTGGCTACAAGGTTTATATTATCACAAGCCCATAGATATGTTCATTACACATGCACAGACACTGAAGACACACAGCAACCTGATGGGCTGCATGTACGAAAATAAACACGGGCGATATTCTCATGTCCAAAAGGAAGGAATCTGCCTGAAAATGGCTAAACCGTAATCTCACCTTTTATCTTGACCAAACTTTATGTTTAGACCCACTTACAATACTTACAAAATGTCCATAAAAAAAAAAAAACAAAAGGAAAAAAAAATTCAGATCAAATCACATTTTGTTAGCCAAAAGCATGAAAGCCAAAAGTAACAAGTATCAGAACATGATTTCTCCCTCAGCAGCATTGATCTTATTCAGAGATGCTGAAAGAGGGGGATTGTTCAGCAGAGCAATTTGTAAAACGATACTCTTCAACCAAGCACTAACACACTGTGAGGCATTTACAGCCTCAAAATGCTCAGCCCTTCACAGGTGCCATTTGAGAAGGTTTGTCGCTAAATAAAGACTGTATTTGTTCTTGGAAAAAGATGCCTTTGATATTTCTAGTCATTGCAACCTCTTGACCGTATTTAAAGAAATCCTCATCGTTATGTTTTAGTCAACTACTGTATTATATTGCTTGACCTCTTTCTTAGCAAAGAAAAGTTGGACAAAATTGTGTGAGGGTTTTATCCACAGCGCCTTTCCTGGTTGCAGCAAAGAAGTGCACTCTATTTTACAACAGTCAATTTATCACAATCAAAATAATCAGTTTACCTCTTGGTAAGCCAACATCCATAGTTGGATTTGTACGTGCTACAATATTTCACACTTCAGTTTTGAGTTTCCAATATAGCATCATACATAACATGAGTTTTCAGCAATTTTAATGTATTCCCCCAAACTAGTGTGACAATAGTACTGAATATATTCGACTACAAAGTGATGGTGACCGATATGAGGGGAAAAAAAAAAACCCCGATGGCGTTGCAAGGCACATTCATTATTTAACAGCAAAAGACAACTGGTCCTCTTGAAACCTTGACTTGGTCGGACCCAGACTGCGATTCACCATTAAAAAAAATGTCACAGCCAGGTAGTTGATAAGAATTAGGTCAACTCGTAATTCAAGAGCCAAACTCAACTCAGTGGCACATACAGTATTCATAAAGCTTGTGACTTTGCAAATAATATTATATCTTCATTCTCTCACATTTACTGTACTAAAAATGCTGTATACGTTAAATTAACTGCATTCCAAAACAACGCCACATTCTTTAAGTAAATATGGACAAAATTCCTGTATTTTTACCAAAACAAATCAACTGATATGGAAAGTCAAAAATTTTTTAAAAGGACAAAAAATGTATTCTCTTTGGATGAGTTTCTGAATGTCTCTGCGTGTGTGTGGGCATGTTCTGTTACCTGTAAAGTAATGTGTGTCCACTTTTCCATCACAAGTCGTCCCTCTGTTCTGAAGCTGATGGTCAGAGGAGTTGAACTTCTGGACTGAGTGTACTGCATCTTGACAACCCGTTCCGACAATGTCACTGAAAAGATTAACTGGTCCCTGGAGTTTTTCTCCAGTAGCATCCTGAGAAGGAAAAACAAAAATGCAATCAACAATCAGAAATAACACAGGGTTGAACATTCCAGTAGCGGGAGAAAGGCGGATCGCTAAAGAGGTTTCTCAGCATGAAGAGTTAAATCTAAAAACTCAAGTTGAGTTGGGCACCACTAGATGCAGTCTCTCATTTTGACATTTATACATGTAATATTAATATTTTACACGAGTGCTAGGTTTCTGGTGCTACGCGGGTTGCGGACTTGCAGGGGCAAACACCCTCCTCGTGTCATATTAACCACCATCAGTGACATTTTATGGGAAATCCTGGCTTTTATGAACCCAGGGACGCCCTCCATATAAATCACTGATGGATGAATGAGACAAGAGCATCTGGGTCGAACGTCTGCACGTCCATGTCTACGTAAGAGGCACAGGAAATAAAGTCAAAATTACTTTGTCAAAGGGATGTTTTGCTCCTTTTTAATCCCTGCTAAAAGACAGATCGATACACAAGTTGAGAAGTCAGGGCATTGGCAACTGCCAGCAGATGATGTTATACAGGTCATCATGTATTTGTCAAAACACCATAAAGTCACAGAAAGCATTTCCGTGCATGACGTACACTTCATGAAACCTCAGCACTTGTTCCAAAAGTGATGGCGCAAGACATTCAAAGCAACCAAAGATAAGCTATACATGTTTTCTAAATAAGATGTCTGAAAGCGTCTTATGCTATATTTCATATCAACTCTTTTAGGCATTGTAAAAACTCAAATTCGTAAGAACAGGTGGCTGGTTCTGTCCATTCAGATGAGTGGGAGGATTTGAAATCACAGCGATCGAGAGACAAAAAGGAGATGGACGAAAGTGAGGATAGAGACCTCTTTTCATCTGGATTCTTTGATGGCGGCCATGGCTGCGTCGACTACAAAAGACAGTCGGCTGAAGACAACATCAGAGAGCGAGAGAGGGAAAGCGAGAGAAAGCCAGGTACAGGTGTCATGTTCAGCAGGCCAATACAACTTGCCTGTCATCTGAATGTCCAGGGAGACAAGTTCACAAACAAAGACTCGGCACGAACCATGAGTGAGATATCTGCGTCGTTGTCCCCACTAGAAAATTTGAGTGTGCATAACAGTGACTTATGATAAGCTCCAATATAAAACACCAAGTGCTTCAACAATCAGCCTTCAGTGTCACTCTATTAAAAGGGGGCAGGTGAGGTTGCCCTTTACTGCATACGTGTGACTATTGTGCGCATGATTGAAAACCAATCTGAACTTTGCACCAACAACATTTAACGCAAGTAGGACATGATCATGAATCGCAGACCACAACGTCTGCAGGGTGACCGCAACAGACACAGCAATTACATCACTTTAAGTCTTACTTTAAAACATCCTCCTGCTTCAGACAAGTGCATTTATATCAAATGCAATCAATCAAAATTAGCTTTTTTTTTTAACCAGAAGCTAAGGTTTACAATGGATACAGAAAATGTATACTTCAGAGGCAAGTTCATATGCACCCTGCCCTTTGCCTCCCTCTCTCAATTTTGACATTGTAGTTCATTCAGATTTACGGTTTTAACATTTTCAACCACAGAAAACAACAAAACAAAAAAAGACAACAGACTCACATCTCTCCAAGAGAGCTTGGTTTAATCCATAAGGCCAGGGTGAGGGATCCTGAAGCTCCCAGCTTCTGAGAAGGGGGAGAGAGCAGACATGCCTGCTGGCCTTGAGGAAACATAATACTACTGGAAACAGCTGAATCTCCACTTGACATAGAGGTGGTCAAACTGTTGAACTCTGATGTCTGATGGATAGGACGGGTGTCTTTTGAGTCTTCAGTGATGCAAGCACCCCTGGTGAGAGGGGAAGAGGGTAAAATGGTGACTATTGTGCTATGAACAAAGTTAAATCCCTTGAAGTTGGTACATTGTGTTAAACATAAAAGCAGAATTTGTAAATCATGTTCAATTTATATATACCGGTAATTGAATAGACCACAAAGACAAGACATTTCTTGTTCAAGCTGATAAACTTTGTTATTTTTATGGCTACAACATGTTCCAAAAAGGATGGGGCAGGTGACAAAAAGACTGAAAGGAATGCTCATCAAACACTTGGAATATCCCAAAGGTGAACAGACTAACTGGAAACTGGTGGATGCCCTGTTTGGTTATAAAAGGAGCTGCCCTGAATTGCTCAGTCATTCACATGCACAGATGGGGTGAATAAGTGCCTGGAAAAAATAGTCCAACAGTTTTAGGACAATGTTCCTCGAGCTACAATTGCAAGAAATCTAGGGATTTCATCATCTATGTTCCACAATATCGTCAAATGGTTCAGAGAATCTGGAGAAATCACTGCATCTAAGTGGCAAGGCTGAAAACCAAGATTGAATGCCCGTGACCTTTGATCCCTCAGGCGGTACTGCCTCAAAAACTGACACCAATGTGTAAAGGATATGACCAAATGGGCTCAGGAATACTTCAGAAAACCAAGGTCAGTAAATACGGGTCGGCACTACATCCGCAAGTACAACTTAAAATTCTTCTCTGTAACGCAAAAGCCGTTTTTCTACAACACCCAGAAACTCAGCCAGCTTTTCTGGGCCCGAGCTCATCTAAGATGGACTAAAGCAATGTGGAAAAGTGCTCTGTGGTCTGATGAGTCCCCATTTTTAATTGTTTTTGAAAATTGTGGATGTTGTGTCCTCCAGGCCAAAGAGGAAAAGAACCACCCAAACTGTTCTGGACACAAAGTTCAAAAGCCAGCATCTGTGATGATATGAGGCTTTGTTAGTGCCATTAGCGTTGGTAACTCTCATATCTGTGAAGGTAACATTCATGCTGAAAGGTACATACAGGTTCAGAAGAAACGTGCTGCCTTCTAAGCACCGTCTTTTTCATGCCACTGCTTATTTCAGCAAGGCAATGTCAAACCACATCCTGCACGTGTTACAACAGCGTGGCGTCGTACTAGATTGGCCTGCCTGCAGTCCAGACCCGTCTTCCATTGAAAATATGTGGCGCACTATGAAGCATAAAATAGCACTTAGCGGTACCATCTTAAACATCTGATTACCTGTATGCAGGCAGCAGCAGTGGTGCATAAGGTGGCGTAGAGGACCTAAAGGGACACTCTTGGTCGCAAGAGGCCTGATGGCACATCAGAAGCTCAGCCTGTGAGGAAGCAGTCTGGCAGTAGAAGCTCCGATCCGGAACCCCACAGGTAGAACGAGCTGGAGAAGTGGACACGGGTTTGAAGGCAGCAATGTTCTCCATTGGCGGGAAATGTCCCTGTAATAACGACAGAGGATTGAACAAGTGTGACCGTTCCCATTTCATCTGGACCTAACGTACTTATTCTTAGCAGCAGTAAACCGACACTCTCGGATACAATAATGACAATCTCGTTGAGCAGCACACGATGTATATACAACTCATCCAAACCATTGCTCACATGCACTGAATATGTGTTGGAGAAGAACATGAAAACTAGAAATTATACAACAGCTGTACCAAGTGCTGCTTTCAGGAAAAGACATTTAAACGCAAATTGTGATATTTGTGAAAAACAGGATGTTTTGTTGAACGTCAATGACATTACTGAATATGAACTTCATAGAATACTCAAAGTTTTAAAACTGCAACTAGTACCGAAAAAAAAAAGGAATAACCAGGAAATACAAATACCTCATGTCCCCTAGTAATGGCTATTTTCTATTGCCAGAGGAAGTCACCATTGCTGTGTGGCATTATGGTATATTGTTTTTCTACACGTTCACTAGTAGAAAATTCCAACCTTCCATTTCTACGTTTTGATAGAGATGTCATAAGTTTCCAACTTGACAGCTTTCAGTCGGAATTAAATGTTGCCATAGGCCCTTCTGTGGATTTCATGTACACACTATGCTTACAAAGATTTTATCTAGGTACTATGGTTGCTCTCACATTCCAAAATCATGCATGTTAGGTTAATTGAAGACTCAAAATTGTCCGTATGTGTGAAAATAGGTGTCACTGGTTGTTTAGATGTGCCTTGCAATTAGCTAGCAACCAGTAAAGGTAAAATAGACAAGTACAAATCGGAGTCTTAAATAATCTGCCTCTGGCTGTGAAATGGCTCAGTGTCGAACTACCATTAAAAATGGTAAAATTTAGACAAGTTAAAGCATTGATGTCCACCCGCATGTGTTTATTGTAATACAACATAGGGATCCTGTATTTTTATTTTGTATATTAGAATGACATGATTGACAAATAAGCTTGAAGGTTTTCTTACCTGTGATGAAGCAGATTTTGGACACAGAACGATGAAGAGGACCCATATGCAGAAGAAAATAGGTTGCCACCTTATTACCAACATGAATTTATAGTCACTCTTAATATGTTCTTCTGTCTTGTTTTTCACAGGATATTCATGGATCCTGCTCTTGTTTTTGTGCTGTTGGAGTTCATTTTCTCTTGGTACTCCAATTAATGAAATCCTAGCAGCTTCTTCCTCAACTTTTCCAACTTCGCAGTTGCAGTCGATGCATAATTGATCTTGTCTTCCCAGTCTCTTACTCATTGTCGTGCTCCATGTTTTCTTCATTTGTAGCGTTCCGCTCTTTGCTGTTCTGCCATGTTGGTGGTCTCCTGTGACCCCAAAAGATGGTTGAATCTGAGGTTCTAAAATGGGAGATGTGACTTTATGGAACATTCCTGAGGCCAGTGGGATGTTCCAGAATTTGGAGATGCCTTGGAAGCCTCCCAACAGTTCTTGAATAAGTGATGACTGGCATGGTGTCATGGTGGCCGAGTTACACACCTTTTTTTTTTTTTTTTTGCCAATGCCCCCAAGGGTGAAGGTGCAAAGCTTAGGTTTCGGTTACACTGCCTGTGTCCCCCGCACACAGCGACCACAACCAAAGCCTTCGCATGATAGCTAGGATTTCACAACCTGTGGAAGGAGAGAGAGCGGCAGAGCGATATGGTTAGACCAAAATCCAAAATGAGACAAATCTGAGGCAAGTGAAATGCCATGCAGGCTATTCCCTGGCCAAAGCCAACACTATCATGTACAGCTTGATGGAGGCACGGCTCAACTGATACCGCTACATCAGTTTCCCCCCCTTTTCTTCATTCCCCATTGAATTAAACATGCCCTGTTTCCTCCTGGCATCTGGCCTCCAGGTTCTGATACAACTCAGCGGCTTTTTTTCGCATTGGTTTGCTGGAAATTGGGGCTTATGTCAAAATCTCTCTTCATTGCAATGCTTATCAGCTTCATGGCATGGTGTTATGGGGGCCGAGTTTCACACCTTTTTTTTTTTTTTTTTGCCAATGCCCCCAAGGGTGAAGGTGCAAAGCTTAGGTTTCGGTTACACTGCCTGTGTCCCCCGCACACAGCGACCACAACCAAAGCCTTCGCATGATAGCTAGGATTTCACAACCTGTGGAAGGAGAGAGAGCGGCAGAGCGATATGGTTAGACCAAAATCCAAAATGAGACAAATCTGAGGCAAGTGAAATGCCATGCAGGCTATTCCCTGGCCAAAGCCAACACTATCATGTACAGCTTGATGGAGGCACGGCTCAACTGATACCGCTACATCAGTTTCCCCCCCTTTTCTTCATTCCCCATTGAATTAAACATGCCCTGTTTCCTCCTGGCATCTGGCCTCCAGGTTCTGATACAACTCAGCGGCTTTTTTTCGCATTGGTTTGCTGGAAATTGGGGCTTATGTCAAAATCTCTCTTCATTGCAATGCTTATCAGCTACAATTTCACATTTTGACACACGCACACACACACAAAGGGAGGCCAGCGGAGCAGTCAGGCTCAAGTGTTGAATTATTTGGACCCGCTCACAATAATGTGCCTTAGAGAGGATGGACACAGTGTATCTAATAACGGTCGCTTTCTGTTGCGGTGTGCGGTCACAAATTTGTCACAAATAAGCAAAAGCAGGGTACCGTTCGTGGCTCACCTGTTGCTGTTGACTCCCGCTGCACAATTCGTTCACAAGTTGTTTTTAAACCATAGAAATCCGACTTGTTGATTTGACGTAGTTCGGGCAATTTAGCTAACACCAGGTGCAGTCATAAACACCTGTCACACGATCAGACAGGGAAAACAATAGTCCTTTATTCGACTCGCAATATATCGTTCCTTTGGCTCAACTTCTGGTTTTATGAAGGAAAAATAAATCCCGCAAGACAATGTAGAAGTTATCTGGGTTCGCCTCCTCCTCCTCCTCCTCGTCGTCTCTTACGGAGCAATCTCATTCACAACAAGCGAGACACACGCGGACGCTCCAAAGTAGATTAGCAGCAGCCAGCCGCCATCTGGTCAGTGGCGCAACAAGTCGCGCTCATTTCAAAGTAACCAAGACGTCACTTTGCACTACTCCGACACGAATAACTGTAGCGGTTGGAAGAAGACAACTCGAAACGAACAACAGCCGCACGTTTAATATATTCAGTCATGTTCTGACGGTACACCGCCACCTGTGTAGGTTGAAGCTGTCACTTAAGTGGCTCTCTCAAGTTGGAGGGGACGCCGTTACGTAGCAACGGAGATTATTACTAATCACCGGAACCGAGACCATGAGTTATGTCACAGATTAAAACTATGGACCTTTTCTTTTCACCGTCACGTCACATGTACTTCCGAGTAGTCATTTGACCACTGCAGAGTGAGTGACAAAACAGGGTTATTTTGAATGATGATTTACATCAGCTGCTGATCTATATCATTGTTCAAGGTAGCACCAGGTAGCCCCCCCAAGTGCAACATGAGTAGCCAGTTCAAGGGCCAGTTCAAAACATACCTCATCGGTGATGAGACATTGTGATTTCCGAGAAATGTTGGAGGAGTGTTTCATGTGAATGTTGGCCTGAACCTACCTTGTTAAACCGTCCATTTTCTACCGCTTATCCGGGGTCGGTAGCTTTTGGAGGGAAGTCGAGGCTTCCTTCTCCCCAGCCACTTCTGCCAGCTCTCTCCAGGGATCCAAAGGCTTTCCCAGCCCAGATGGGAGAAACAGTCTCTCCAGCGTGTCCTGGGTCGTCCCTGGGGCCTCCTGCCGGTGGGACATGTCTGGAACACCTCACCAGAGAGGCGTCCAGGAGGCATCCTAATCAGATGCCCGAGCCACCTCATCTGGTTACTCTCAACGTGGCTGAGAAATGGGTCAACTCTGAGACTCCCTCGGATGTCCGCTTTATCCTCACAAGGGTCGCGGGGCGTGCTGGAGCCTATCTTAGCTGTCTTCGGGCAGTAGGTGTGGGACACCCTGAACCAGTTGCCAGTCAATCGCAGGGAACACAGAGACGAACAACCATCCGTGCTGACACTCATACCTAGGGACACTTTAGACTCAAAGAGAAAAGTTTTACATTTACATCCAGCCCAGATTGTAAACCTGGCGCTATCAGACAGCAGTGGCTTCATTTGGGGGAGGGGCCACAACAGCACCCGGCGCTGCTCATTGAGAACAACGTGCTTTCACCACAGACTCCAAAAGTCTCCAATAACACCAGAAAAAGTCGCTAGATTGTCACTAGTCATTTTTGTTTGCTCGAGAGGGTCTGAATACTCACTAAATATAACGTCAAAGTCGCTAATTTGGCAACACAGACTTCCTGAAATGTCATTAAAAAAATAATTTAAAAAATATATATATTTTTTCTCCATACACATCTCAGTCCATGGTCCCTGCTTTAGAGTCTTCAATCAGCCTGCCATGCATGTTTTTGGAATGTGGGAGGAAACGGGAGTACCCGGAGAAAACCCACGCAGGCACGGGGAGAACATGCAAACTCCACACAGGGAGGCCGGAGCTGGAATTGCACCTTATGTAAACATTCATAGGAAAAAAAAAATGACATTCACACAAATATTTTTGCCACACTAACAAGTTTTGTTATCATACTAATCACGTTTGAACAGCTGCAATTTGCTTTGGTTGAACAAAGGCATTCTAACTAGGTTTTAATTAAGTGTTCCTAATGACCTTAAGCAGATTAGAGGTTCGCCTTCTAATCAATACCAGGCAGAGAAGAGGAAAGAGAGGGGAGCAGGAAAGGAAGGAGGTGACTAGGGGCTGGGGAAGAGAGAAAAGGGGTGGAGGAAAAAAGGGAGGGAAAAGCAGATGGGGGAGGAGGGACGAGGAAGTTCGGGGTGAGTGAAAATTGATTGATGGTGGAAGGAAAAATGGAAGGTGAGTGCAAGAGACAGGCTGAACCACACTACACATTTGATCTGAAATATTAGCTAAAAGCAATTATGAGAAATATAATTAGAGAAATCAATATCCTAGATATGAAGAATGGTAGACCATTGGATGGATGGATGACTGGATGGAAGGAAAAGTGCTACATGGGTGAATATAAGGCTTAGTTGGAGGGATGGATCAAGGATGGATGAATGGATGAAAGTGTTGGTCGTTTAAATGATGATGAACAGCCAGCTCTTTGAATATGAATTTATGGATGGATGGATGGAGGGGTGATAAACTTTCTCTCAGATGCAAGAATAATTGGTACAAAAATGGACAGATGGGTATTGATGGAGGCCTAAAAGCAAACATGCTGGTTGGATGAATGGATGCCTGTGGAATGGATGTTTTCAGCGGCAGACTAATGGGTGAATGGATGAAAAAGAAGATGCATGGATGGCACTTCAAGATATCTCTTGGTTTCCTCACAAGACATTTTGAGAGAATGTATCCTCTCATCGTACTTTGCCGCATTAATTTATTCAGCCAGACGCATTCAATTCCAGAGAAGTGCTATCTCACAAACCGGATTAAAACTGGAAGAGGAGCACCCAATTAATAATGTCTCATTTTCTAAATTACTTATGTATGACTTACATTTGATTAAATTGTGTTTGCTGGTCTAATAACATTAAGCGGAATATGGTAATGTGCAGCAGCAAATGTATTGTTTCTCTGAATCTACACAGCACCATGGATATGTGGAGCCATCTTTGTCTTCATAGCTGATTAGGACATATCCAGACAGTAGCTGTATACACACACACACACACACACATATATATAATTTTGTAGGCTGTATTTAAATTGCATGCACATTAAATTTCATATTTTATCATTCTGTCGCATTCTGATGACAAAGAAGACAGTTCTTGTTAGTCTCGTGACGCTAGATCTGTCGAAATCTTTTTTGCGTGTTTAGCTGTGCTCAAATGTTTCTGGAATATTTTCATTCAACAATGAGGGTCCTCATCACTCCACCTTGAAGATAAACCAGACTACCCGGTCCTCTTGGAAGATTATCACAAGGGAGTCTTTTCGGGTCTTCATGGAATGGCAAATCTGGAAATTAGTAGTGGGAAGTGAATGCAAGTCCATTTTGTGCAACGTAGTGGGATTGAAGTAAGATAAAGGGTTTGGCTGAGTCCTACATTTACTTTAAGGTAAAAAAAAAACCAGTGTCCAACCTCTTCTCAATTACTGTGTAGGTACTGATATGCCTCAGAGCTTTTGAGATTGCTCATCGCCTCACCGTCTGAAGCGACAAAATTCAGAAAATAGCAAAACATGGGACTGTACATTGTCGCCGGCCATTTTTTGATATCATCCTCCCTACCCGACTACACTACCAGGAAGCAGGACTGAAATGTTTTCTCTTTTAAGCTGCACCGAGTAGTGTTCGCACATTGTTTAATTCTGTAACTGTCGCTGAAAGTGGATTTGTATAACCGGCTATCATGTAAACAAAATGTCGGTTCCAGTTCATACCGGAGGTGACGGCCATAATTCAGGCCTCGGAAGATGGATACCCTCCAACTTCTGTTGTCTTTAAACCTTTCAAACCTGACATCTATTATTTTCCCACTAACACCATTCATTCATTGCTCCATTCTACCGGCCCCTTACCATGCCCTCAATCCCTCACAATTTTCTAAATGTGCTCCCATCTGTGGCCCTG